ATTTCAAGCCATGATTTTCTTTTATGGTTTTCTTCAAAGCTATTTTTTTTGCTTTTACTCAGTGTCTTATTCAGCTCAAGCTCTAACAACAGAATACCATATCCTGGGTGGCTTAAACACAGGAATTTATTTTCTCAGTTCTGGAGCCTGAAGTCTGAGATTAGGTGCCAGTGTGGTCGAGTTCTGGTGAAGGCCCTCTTCCTGGTTTGTAGACAGCTGCCCTCTCACTGTGGCCTCACATGGTTGGGGGAGAGAGCACAAACTCACTGGTGTCTCATCTTATAAGCGCACTAATCTCATCATGAGAGCCTCTTCCTCATAACCTCATCTAAACCTGATTATCTCCTCAAAGCCCCATCTCTAAATATCATCACATTGAGGGTTAGGGCATCAATGTATGAATATTGAGGGACATAACATTGACTCTCTACCACCCAGACTGTGCGACTTCTTTTCATTAGTAATTTGATTAAAGATGCCGAAATTTTTAAATATACTAAACCTAAAGAGAAAACAAATATGTATTTAGGAATTTGGATAATCTTACCAGAGTGCAAAGGTGGAGCTGAAATGAAGACGATAAATTCAAAAGGGATAAAAGTTTAGTCAGAGTTTTTTTCTTTCCTTTTATTTTGTTTTGAGGAAGATGAGCCCTGAGCTAACATCTGTTGCCAATCCTCCTCTTTTTGCTGAGGAAGATTGGCCCTGGGCTAACATCCATGCCTATCCTCCTCTACTTTATAAGGGACACCGCCACAGCATGGCTTGGGAAGCAGATCCCTAGATCTGCACCAGGGATCCAAACCTGGGAACCCTGAGCCACAGAAGTGGAGCGCTCGAACTTAACCACTATGCCACCAGGCAGCCTCCCGAAAAGGGATAAAAGTTTAAAATTCTATTTAAGTAAAAAAAAAATCAGCTGTGTAAGTATACGGTGGGTAAGGCTTGAATTTGATGGCAATGAGCATGAAAAGTATCTAGTGACGTTTGTTGACAAGGACTAACTGATGCAATATGCAAATACAATCATATGATACTTTAACAGAAATATAATATCCTGATCAAGAGAGGCCACTAGTCTTTCTGCACTCTTCCCTGAGTAGGCCGCTTTCAGCAAATATAAGGAAAAATACAATCAAATCAGTATTACATTTCTGTTTAGAGCAATGTGGATACTAAGTGGGTTTGTATAGACAGTTAATGCCTGTGAAATTAATGGTGATGTAATTAGTATATAGCAAGTTTCAATTTCATAGAGAAGAATGTATAATAAAATTCTTGGTAGATTTGTAGAAAGTAAGCAAGAATGTGGTATTTTTTATAATAAAAGCACATCAAAAAGTTAACACCTTAATTATAATCCAAACAGATTTCAAGAGACTCTCATCTAAATTATTGCTACTCAAAGTGCAGTCTGTGGACCAGTAGCCTTAACATCACCTGGGAGCTTGGTAGAAATGCAGACTCTTCAGGCCCCATCCTAGAACAATGGGATGAAAACCTGTACTTTAACTAGATTCTCAGGTGATTTGTATGATCATTAAAATTTAACATGAAAACTTCTGAAGTTGTAAATGTGTTCAATGAAAGCTTTAAAAAGCTATAAAGATGATGTCCCCAAACTTCTTTATATCTTCTTAAAGGATGATGCAATACTTTGGTTAAAGTAGTAAGAAAAATGAAGGATGATGTCACAGTGATGGCTTATTTGACGATTGCATTGTCCTTCTAGGCAATTCCATCATTCTTACATTTTCATATATTTTTCTTTTTTTTTAGCATAGATTGAAATGATTATTAATGAGGTAATTCCTATGTTGATTAAATAGCAAAGTGTTTTAAGATAGCAAAAAATAAGATCACTAAGATCCCATAGTGTATCTTAGATTTATAAAGGATCCACTGGACTCATATGTTAATTGCAAGATAGGATGAGTCTTCTACTTTAAAAATACATAAACAATTTTTTTTCTTTGTTCTTTGGAAGAATGAAACTTCTAAAAAAGAAACTCAAAAAATAAAATTGGGTCCAATAGACCCTGATGATATACTGAGTGTTTAGTGTTAGGGATCTTTCAAAATATATTGGAAACAAGATGACATATATGAAAATATAGCTAGGAATGCAAAATAATATGAAACAAGTATCAAGTGAGTACTATGAAGGTTTAAAAGAATGAGAGTTTCATTAGTCCATGCAACAAATATTAAATGCCTATTATGTGCCAGGCATTATTCTTGGAATTGGGGATAAAATGGCCTATTGGAGCTTATATTTTAGTGGAGGACACAGAGTACAAACAAATTAACTAGCCAGTGAAAGTTTGTATAATGACAAGTGTTATAAAGAAAAAATAGAGCAGGTAAGAGGATGGAGAATGATTCTGCACCACAGACCGGAAAGTTACAAGGCAGATGCTTTCCTCCTCCTTTGTAATTAGGCCCAGGAGAGATGGATCAGGGAAACATGTAAGGAGTTTCCATCTGACTATACACTGAATAAAATGAGATAGAAAGCCATTTGGGGGAAGTGGAACATAACAGAAAAGCCTGCAGTAATATTTTCTGTTCTAAAAAAGACCTTTCATCTCCTTAATTGAGTGAAACTGTTCTACAGTGTCAGGGTTACCCAGGATGCAAATAAAATCAGCCCCTATTTTCTTTGTCAACTTAGTGTCCTGAGATGTACTGCAGCACAAGAAACATGAGCATGAGCTTTGCATAGAGCCCTTCCTCTGCTGTCCCAGCTCTGAAACCTTTCAGTCTGAAGGTGTAAAAAACGCTGATTGGGGCTGGCCTGGTGCGCGCGCTCTGCTTCGGCAGCCGGGGGTTCGCAGGTTCAGATCCCGGGCGCACACTGACACACCGCTTGTCAAACCATGCTGTGGCAGCATCCCATATAAAAAAGTAGAGGAAGATGGGCATGGATGTTAGCTCAGAGCCAATCTTCCTTGGCAAAAAGAGGAGGATTGGCATCAGATGTTAGCTCAGGGCTGATCTTCCTAACAACAAAAAAACAAAAAACACACTGATTAGTTGTTACTGAACTTAGTTCAAGTTTCAGACAACAGTGCCACTCTTGAGCTTGCAGTCTCAATTTTCACATCTGTAAACTGGGAAAAATACCCAACTTGCAAAGTTATTGTAAAAATCATAGATAATGTACATCAAATGCCTGGCACATATTAAGTGTTTGATAAACAGGAGCTATTATTACTCACCATTAGGGTTAGTTCATTTTGTAGGGGCATAAAATTTTTCCCTTCTTCCTTTCTAGGTTCTTTGGCTGGCTTAATATTCAAATTGACATAAGACAGAGTAACAGGAGAAAAACAAACTTAATTTTGTATGTACGGGAGCCCCATAAAAATATGAGACTCAAAGAAGTGACCAAAGCAGGCTGATTTTATACATTTTAGACAAGGAAACAATAAATTTCTGAAGAATCTTCTGACAAGACAAAGGGGCTTGGGCTTTGGCTGGTAAATTAGTGAAGAAGTAACAAGGTTTATTTATACAGCCTTCGTGGCCCTAAATTTCCCATCTCTGATGATAAGGATGCCTTCTATTCTCCTGGTACAGGGAAGGTACCTTTCACATTGGAGATTTATTTCCTGCTTTCAGGGGAACAAAAGAGGGTCACAGTGTCTTTCTTGCACCAGCTGTTTCTTAAATAACTTTAATTCCGAGTGGCATATTGGGGTGGCCCTCCTTTGATTCATATCTATATTAAGATGTGATAACCAAACATAAATGTTCCTACAGATTCTTCAATACCTGACTTAGTTTCAGTCTTGTGAAAATTACACCATAAGACACATAATAACAATTTAGAGTTCCCGTAAATGAATAAGAATTCCCTACCTGTTGCCTACCCTCAGCTTCACTTAGTATTGCTCCCTCTAGAGTACAACAGTGGGAGGTCGAGATGTTAAGAGGGTAGGCCTCTCAAAGGCAGTTAGGAGTATGAGTGTAAAATATGCATGAATACACATGGTGTGAAGTCAGCTGCTTGAAAGCCAGGTAATTTTATACGTCCACTTTTTGCTATCTAAACCTTCTAGTTTCGTTCACAAATGTGAACACGTTTAGACTCTTCAAATACATGAGAGACTGGCTGGAAACAATCCCTGAGGAGTCTGCCAAAAGAGCTTGCAGCATTTAACAGCCATCCTGAGCCCCGGGAACAATGTAGAAGACTCGTTGTGTGACAGTACGCAGTCGGTGTCCCCTGCCCCTGGGGGAGATGCCATCTCCTTGTCTCTCCTTCTGTACAACTCAGCCTGGCTCATGAGGTTCCCAGGGATCTTTCAGAGTTGTGTGTCATTACTCTGAACTAGGATATCTTCCTGAGCTGGTCAGATGCCATTTCTTGATCTGCTGTCATTGGATACTGCAGATTTAGTTTTCTCTGCTATATACAAAAAAAAAAAGAAAGAAAGTAAGGATTTGGATACTATGTCTTCCAAACTTAATAGTCAGTTGCATGATCTTAATGGCTTTTGCTCATTTTTAAAGCAGTGAGGAAGGGAGTTGGTGGTGGGAAATAACTATTCTGATTGAATAAGAGTCTTTAAAACATTCTGTAAAACTGTATCAACAAAATAGGACAAACACCGAGATCTTGAATCATTGGATTTTTATGCAACATAATGCCCATGGTAGATAAATACTAACAACCACAAAATGGCTAAAACATAAATAAAAGAAGGAATGTGAAGAAGGAAGGAGTGAAAGAGGGAGGGAACAGAGGAAGGAGGGGAAGGAAAGGAGGAAGAAAAAAAGGTGGAATGAAGCAAGTAAAGGGAGGAAAGAAGGAAAGAAAGGAATGGAAGGCAAGAAAAGGAGCAAGGAAAGTAACAGACGAGAGAAAGAAGAAGGGAAGAAGGAAAGGAAGAACGGAATCTGGAATCCTATCCTTTAGCGATCAGAGAAAGCACAGACAGAGTTTTTGTGGTGGGGTTGATTTCTGCCAGGCTTTCTGTTGTGGCTTCTATAGAATGGCCCTTAGTCGTGGTGATAGCGATTCTGATTGCAAGACTGCCTTTGCTGAAGAAGATCTGAGCCATCAGGTTGTTCAGGTTGAGGCTGTCCCCACAGTAATCACAGAGGTCATACCTTCAGGAACCGAGTAGGAAATGGCCTCCCATTTGAGATGCCCCTGGTTTATGAGGAGCTGCAACAGGTGCAGTTAGGGCTGGGTGGAAGTCCCAATCAGCATCATGGTGGCAGAAACAGGCGTGCCCTTCATGGCTCTCCTGTTTCCCAGGTACTCTCAGAAAATGGTAGCTGAGGCAGGAGTGCATGGTGATCCAATCCACTAGCACTGGGAGTTGCATGTCACATGGCCACTCAGCTTTCTATAAGAAGTCAATCCAGTGGGTCTGCCTCAGATGGGTCACCATTACCTCCGAGTGGTCATCCTGCTGGCAGTAGGACAAGGAACAGGTGCAGGACATCACCTGGGTGTTATGCAACACTGCTCCTGATGGCAGGAATGAGCATGGTGTGACAGGTGATGATGGCAGTTCAGTGGATGTGATGAGGTGGTAGAGGCTAGCTTGCTGTGGGCTGCTCCGAGTTATGGCTCTTTGATTAGATCTGTTTCTGGTGCTCTTGCTTCTTTTCTGTAAATGCTGCTTTCCATATGGAATCATTTCCCTTTGGCATGAAGAACATCTTGAGCATACCTTGTAGTGTAGTTCTGCTGGCTACATCTCTCACTTATGCATATATGAAAATGTCCTTATTTCAACCTTCATTTTTGAAGAATGTTCTGCATATTTTGAAGGATATTTTGAGGATATGCCCTCCCCTGCAGTCTCCACGCAACCACTGATTTGCTCTCTGTCGCATAGATAAGTTTATATTTTCTAGAATTTCGTGTAAGTGGAAACATATAGAATGTACTCCTTTTTTTTTTGGTTTAGTTTCTTTTAATGCAGCATAATAATTTTGAGACCTATCCATGTTGTGTGTGCATCAATAGTTCACTCCTTTATATTGCTGAGTAATGTTTCAGTGTGACTACACTACCATTTGTCTATCCATTTACCTGGTGATGGACATTTGGGACGTTTCCTTTTTTTAACTATTACAAATAAATCTACCATGAATATTTGTGTGCAAGTCTTTGCATGGATATATGCTTTATTTTCTCTTAGTAAGTACCCAGAAGTGGCATGCTGGATCATATGGTGGGTGAATGTTTATGTTTTTACCAAACTGCCAACTACTTTCCAATGTGTTTGTACCATTTTACATTCTCACCAGCTGTGGTAAGTGATCAGGGATACACAGTTAAATAAGGCCCTACTTCTGATCTTTCCATCCTTCAGCTACTGCTGAACATAGTCACAAGCTGAATTCAAAGCCATGGAACATGGACTTTATTATGTGGGCAAGGAGAAATCACTAAAGTTCTGGAAGTGGGCTCAGGTTTGTTTGGCAGAGAATTCTGTGGCCTGGGGAATTTGGAGCATAGTCTGGAGAAGGGAAGCTGTGGCCGTGAGTAGGCACTTCCCTTGGCTCAGAAGTCCTGTGTGGAGGGCTATAGCCAAAGGATGACCAGAGTGGGGCCTCTGAAGTGTGGAGTTCCGGACAGCACCCCTCTTGCCCACGTTCAAGGGCAATACTATTCCCCTCTCTTCTAATCTGTCCAAATTCTAAACATCTTTAACAGCCCATCTTTGGTCCTCACTCCTTTGATGTCTTCCATTATTGTGGCAGTTCTGTGTATCTCCTTCTCCTCAATTGTTTGCTATTTGCCTTTGTATTACTTGTTTTCTCAATTTGTCTACAAGATTTTTTGTCAACCTCTCTATCCCTTTTTTTCCCATATGTCTGACAAAGTATTATATACAGAATAGCTGTTCACGAATGTTGGTTGAAGGAATGAAGGGCTGCATGTAGTTGGTTTTTCTTAGCTCCTAGCTATGGTGTTAGTCATGAGAAATTGTCCAGCATACTTTTACACTTACACATATAGAACCTAATGCACAGCTATTAATTCCTTGCCCAAGCTCTGCTCCATCATCCTTTGCTAAGCATTCATCTTTAGTTGACTAACCCAGACTCTGTAGTTACACTTAGGTTTTACTAATCCAGGGTAAATCTTAATTTGTTCTTCTGATCTCATCTCATCGGTGTCTTTTTAGCCTATATTCTTTCTATATTAAATAACCCAGAAATAAAGAGGTAATTTTTTTCAGATTTCTGATTTTTCCCAGCATTGGCTTTATTTCTATCTGTCATGTATGTCACTAGAAACCCTGGCCTTAAATATTTCCCCAAAGAGTCATGCCTTGATGTATTTGTATATGCTGACCCTTCTTCCTGAAATGCTCGCTCTTTCCTTCTCCATCTAGATGATGTCCTAGAGTCTTCCAAAACTCGGTGACAGCAGCACCTGTTCCTGGAAGCCTTCTTTTTTTAAGAGATGCAAATTGAATTTACTTACTCTATGTTCTTATAGTACATCCCTGTAAACCTCTCTCATCATATTTAAGATGCTGCTACTGTAATTTTTGACTTCCTTGTCCATTGTCCTGTGTGAGGATGAGGACCATGTCTCATTTGGCTTTGTGTTTCAGCACCTAACGTGGTGCTGGCACATCGTGATTCTCAGATAATCAGTTAATGAATCAGTAAGTTAATGACTGAAATAATGGAATGCCCCTCCTTATTTATCTCTGTCATGCTCTCTCGTCATATCTTCCCCTCTCTTACTTATCTTTTGTTTCTACCCTTCTTCCACTGTGACTAAATTTCTCCAAGATTATAGAAATAATACAAGCTTTGTGACCTTTAGTTAGAGTTTTCTTAGCTCTACAAATGTTGGAAAATGGATTTTGAACCTTAGCAAACAAACTAAAATAGTTTAAACATTTGCTGTGGATGTGGCAATGAAAGAAAGATTTCACTGGTATTTGTTAGGAGGCCGGTGCATCAGTGAGGTTAACATTCTTTGCTCAAGAATGAGAGGCCTCTGGACAGATCTGCCCTGTTCTAACGGCAACACGAATCTTATTCCGTCACACTGTGCTGTTGGGTAACTGACCTTTCTCAAGTCTGGAGGTCTCCTGAAATGTCCTTCATGGAAACCAGAGATAAGAATCCCTATTTAAAAACTTCCATGCTTGGTTTAGCCCAGATACTTTTTATAGAGATACTATGAAATAATCAAGTTCCTAACACACTGGCCTGCAGTAGCAGGTGCTAATAAATGTTAGCGTGTAGTTCCCATCCTCCTTCCCAAGTTTTCTTGAAATTTCTCCCAGGATCAGAGTCACAGATAAGGAATGGGTCCAAACAGTATGTGCCAATCACCAAACGTGTAGATCTTTTAAGATGCCAGTAAATTAATTCTCCTCTTTGGCACTTACACTTTCTTTGAGAATGAGACGCTTTTGGTGTCTTGACTGCACTCCAACTGTTGACTGTAGAGAACATTCTGTGTGAACTTCCCTCCTGAAGGCCGTCATACTCGATTCACATTATAGTCAGGGACCAACTTGCTGGTCCAAAATCCTCATCAGAGATGCCTTTCCTGGGACCGTTGGGTAGTGCTCTGTCTCTTCCTCCCTTTGCTTGAGGAGGTGCTGGACCTTCGTCGCAAGGGGAAGGAACACATTTGCAGGTGTTTTGAGCAGTATAATAGCAGGCCAGCATGAATAGGAGCTCAGGAGGGAGCAGCCTATTTATCCATCTTAAGATTCTTAGCAGAAATTCTCCAGTCCCAACCTGAATCCAATTAAAGTCACAGTAATCAATCTGGTGCACCCAAGTGACACTATTTACTGTAATATTAAGTAGATGTTAATGTATAAAAAAAAGTTTTGAAAACAAATAGAACATAAAGGTAATAGAAAAAATAGCTGTAGTGCTTAATTTCCTTACTTGAAAAACAAGTCCTCTTGAAAGCTTTAGATTCAGCTTTGTGAAATACAATTCAGCTGAATTTTCATTTAATAATTACATTATATCCTGTGGGTATAGGCTTTCCCTGTTGCTTGCACACAACTCCTGTTAGTTGCAACAATGGAAGTTGCTTATAGAATCAGCATGTTAGAGGGAAATGCAAGCAAGGTAGTAACCCTTCAGTGTTTAAGTATACCAAGACTGCTTTCCAGGACTCCTCTTGCCTAAGCAAATGAAAGAGAAGTTTCCTTCCAGATCCTTACAAGCTTGTGAAAGGTGAGGCTGCACTTACTGGGCCACTTTCCTTATGTCTTTGCAGTCAGAAGTCCCTGAGGCTAGGAACCTTGGAGAGTCTGTCAACTACACCTTGTCAGTAGTGGTTTGTTTTGCGAGTTCCCCAAAAACACCCACTTAAATCATTTTTTCTTTATCTTTTCAGGAGCATCTAAAGGCCTTTGATGATGAAATCAATGCTTTTTTGGACACTATGTTTGGACCTCGAGGTGAGTGAGCTTCTTGAGAACTTAATGTGGAAAAAATACAGTTTAGTTATAGAAGGAGTATGTCTGCTCTAGTGTTTTGAAAATAGTGTGGTGACTAACATTTAGAGACTTAATTTCCCTCACCTTTGATATCCTTCTCCCAGAACATCCAGAAGCCTCGTTTCTCCTGCTCGGCCTCTCCTGGGATTACAGTTCTGGGAGCAGGAAGCAGGAACAGAGTGCAGTGCAGTACTTTCCTCCGGTGTCTCTCTGGCTACTGGAGCCGGTTGTAGCTTTCCTTCGGAACTGCACTACTGCTTTCTCTCCTCTCTCCATCGCCCATTCACCTTCCACCTTCCTCAAATGCACAGTCATATATAGTCTTCCTGCCCTTACATGTCTTAGTTCTCTTTAAAGACTTGTGAGTTTTCTGTGCCAGGGCCATGAGGTGGAGCCTCTAAGCTCTCAGTCAGTCTGAGTCTCTCATCTCCCTCCATCGCAGTCCCTTAGACCACTGCAGGGACCTCCTCACTCGTCTCCCTCTTCCACACTTGCCCGCTTCCAGTCGTTGATTAATTATCAGCTGGAATAATATTTTAAAAGCCTAAATCATATTTGTGGTACTCTAGCTTAAAACTCATCAATGTCTTCCCAGTGCCCTTAGGATAAAAACCAAATTTCTTATCCTGGCCACATACCCCTGTGTATCCACCCTCAGCCACCTCTCCAACAGCCGGTTGCATGCTCCCTCACCCCCTTTGATGTAGCCATGCTAGATGTACTTTACCTCCTCAAAGATGTAACATGCTTTTGTATGCTGTTCCTTGAGCCTCGGATTCCTTCCCCTACCTCCCACCCACCTCCCAGTACAGTCAGCCCTTCTCATCCTTCACACCTTCTCAGATAGGCTTTCCTGGCAAGGATGGCAGGGAAGTTTTCCCTCTAAAGTAGGCCCCTCATTATTCTCTAGTTCCACCGGTGTTTGTTTCCTTCAGAGACTTTATTGTTATTAAAAGCTCTTTGTCCCATGAGGGCAGGAACCCTGACTGTTATCTCCAGTGCTTATTACAGTTCTAGGAACATATTAGGCACTACATAGTCTGCAAATAAATAAATTCTAAACAACATGTTTGATTTCACTTGAGCCTTGCTGGTTCACAAAGCTGTGGAAAATATACAAGTAATTGGGTGGGGGGAGGAGGAAAATAAGGAGCTTTACCTGTTTCTCAAAATCTTTAAACAGAATCACGTAGAGATTATTTAGGCCACACTCCAGTTTCTGTACAGGCTCCATAAACTATTCTCAGTGAATGACTGTTTATATAGTTTTAATATAATGATACTCAGTGAGATTTTACAAAAATACTTTCACATAGTCTTTGTTTTGTTTTGTTTTTTCCATTTTGTATTTGTGATGATCTTGTGGGGTAGGCAGGTGGGATATCTGTATCTTGTAACCCACTTTATTTAATATGTTGTCTGCCTCACAGTTCTAGTGGGTAATGTAGAGAGCATGACCGTCTAATTTAAGCATGTAGTATTTCTTGGTGACTGGCTTTCGATTTGATCCTTCCATTAGAAGGTTAAACAACATTCTCTCTGAGCCATTCTCACTGAACTTTGCCATCAGTAAGGTCACCAGGATCTGGAATTATGTAGAGATGGGATCAATTAAGGATAAGATTGCAGGTGTTTACTCAGCTTTGGTCATTTTTGTAGAAGTTTCCTTTGTAGCAAGGAGAGTATAGGATTGACAGTTGACAACCAGATCAGGTGACCTGCACAATGACAGGGAGCCTGGCATCCAGACCATCAGGAATCCATTGTCCCTTCCTAAAAGTGGCACAAGCTTAGGTTGACTGTCAGGCCACCCAGTGAACGTCTAGGTGTCCCCTAGTCTTTTCTGATTTTACCTACGTCATATTAGTACCATCAGGGGATATTGTTCTGGGCAAATGCCTGACACAGATGCACAGCTAAGTCCCAAAGATAATAATACTGCAAGTATTTGTTCCTGTCTTTTGGTTGGAACAGTTATGATTCTCCTTAACAACTGCAGCAAACATTTACAGGGCCATGACAAAAGAAAACAAAAAACTTCAGGTGCTATGTTACTTTTGCAATATGTGCTTGACTCAATGTGCCAATTGATATATATTTAATGACCCTTTCCTCTCAGCAATAAGTGGATATAAGTTAGAAGTGAGACAGTAGATAGGTAAGACCTAGTCCCTGTCTCATGGAGTGTGTCCTGTAGTTGGGGAGGTAAAACTAACATCTGAAACAGTTGGAAAGCAATGAAGTGAACCACACATGTTCATTTCCTAGGGCTGTAGGAACAAGTACCACAAACTGAGTGACTTAAAACCACAGAAGTTTAGTCCCTCAGTTCTGGAGGCAAGAAGTCTGAAATGCAGGTGTTGACAGTGCCGAATCTGTTCTGGGGAAGAATCTGTTCATGCCTCTCTCCTAGCTTCTGGGAGTTGCCAGTAATCTTTGACATTCCTTGGCTTGTAGCTGCATCACTCCAATCTCTGCCTCCCTCTTCACACGGTGTTCTCCTCTTTCTGTCCCTGCATCCAAATCTCCCCTTTCTATAAGGACGCCTGTCACTGGGTTAGGGCCCATCTGAATCCACTGTGACCTCATCTTAACTGGTTATACCTGCAAAGACCCTATTTCCAAATAAGATCACAATCACAGATACCAGGAGTTAGGGCTAGAACATAGTTTTTTGGGGACACAGTTCAACCCATAACACCATAACAGGAGCTACGGTAGCAGTTTAGTGCAAGTTATTTAGCTTTTTCCCCTCTGTGGCTCAATTTTTCTCAAACGTAAACTGCAGATAATACTATTACCTGTAATAAAACTGTTGCCTTGACTATGGTGATGGCGTCATGGGTGTTTTCATATGTCCAAACTCATCAAATTGTACACATTAAATACGTGCAGGTTTTTGTATATCAATTATACCTCAATAAAGCTGTTGAAACTAATATCACCTACATAATAAGACTGCTTTGAGAATTAAATAGGTTAACACATGTAAAAGGCTTTAGAAGAGTGCCTGGCACAGAATAAGTACTCAGTAAGTGTGAGTTATAATAACAGTATTGCAGCCATAATAATATGTAAATTATAAAATGATAATAATTATTTTGTAATGCACATGAGGAACTGTACTTACAAAAGAGCTCCCTTAGGAAATGGCTCCCTTAGAAGGCAGGACTTTTTCTGAGCAGTAGAGGAGGAATAGGATTTAGATGTGGAGATGAACATTAGGAAGTGGCAGAGAACACGGACTTTTATGGCAGATGATTACGAGCTAGCTGTATGAAAGACGATATCTATTAGACATGTGAATGCTGAGAAGAGCTCCTTTCTTACCTTTTTATCTTTATCACAAATGACAGAAGTTTACAGAAGTAGTGATGGGACAGTTAGAGCTTGAGAAGGCACTTTCCTCATAGAAATGGAACTGTCCGTAGGGCGGGGTGGTTTAAAGAGAGACTGGGGGTCGATGGGTTAGAGTAGAGCAGAAAGAGGGACAGAGATTGGGGGAGAACCAGAGAGATCAAGAAAAGCCCTGGTGGCGTAGTGGTTAAGTTCACGCACTCTGCTTCGGTGGCCCAGGATTCGTGAGTTTGGATCCCAGGCACAGACCTACACACTGCTCATCAAGCCATGCTGTGGCGGCGTCCCACATGCAAAATGGAGGAAGATTGGCACAGATGTTAGCTCAGGGCCAGTCTTCCTTACCAAAAAAGAAAGAAAGAAAAGAGCATTATCCCCTGGAGAAACCAGCTCCTTACAACTCTATTTATGGAGATTAAAAACAGCACGCAATTTTTTTGTAATTCTGGGCCAAATCACTTTCTTTCTTTAAACAACAACAAAAAAGAGCAGAATAGAGAACAAAAATCATTGTGCCTACAGTTATTTTCAGGTCTTCCTAATTGTATTATAGCTCTATTATGTGTGTTTCACTTAGGAGTTTACACTTTGACTCCAGAGAGTAAGGCACACTTGATGTGTCCAGGTTCTTGCCTCCTGGCTCTTTGTACTTCTAGTCCATGGTCAAGTTTGGGTTCTTAAATTTATTTTCTGCTCTCGGTTCCGAATCATCAGCTCTAAGGCTTTGCCTTCACCATCTTCAGCTTCCCATGCTTGCCGTTTTGTAATCCCATTGCTGTGTTGGGATCAGCTGAACTCTAAACCCATTCCTGGTTTACTGCACAGTGATCACAGGCAAATGCTGGGGAGGGTGGGTTTCAGCCATTAGGATTCAGTATCAATAGCCCTTCCCTCCTGCCTACTCAGATCTCCTCCGTGGGAGGCAGCAACAGGTCTAGTGGGCTGGGAGTCAGATGTGAATTCAAATCCTAACTCTGCTGCTGATGAGTGTATGGCCTTTTGTAAGTTACTGAAGCTTTCTGAGATGTTTTTTCATCCATAAAATGGCATAATAGTACTTACTTCATATTTTTGGGTTAGAGTAAATAAACATAGTAACTGTTCTAGAGCAGACGTTCAAGAACTGTTGCTTTCCACCTTCATTACATTTCCCTATCATGCAGTGTTCAGCTTAATTCCTGTTTGCTCCATGAAACCTTCCTTAACTATTCCAGCCCTCACTGGTTTCTTCTGAATTGTAACCCAAATCCAGCTTACTTAATGCTATGTCATAGTGTTCCCTGTTGTATTGGGTATGTACAGATAAAACATATGTGACAATATCTTATAACTAGACAGAAGTGTTACTCTTCAGGATGCTCACTGTATGTGTTTCTTTTCAGATTCTCGAGTCAGAGGATGGTTCATGTTGGACTCTTACCTTCCTACCTTTTTTCTTACTGTCATATATCTGCTTTCAATATGGCTGGGTAACAAATGTATGAGGAACAGACCTGCTCTTTCCCTCAGGGGTACCCTCACGTTGTATAATCTCGGAATCACTCTTCTCTCCCTATATATGCTGGTAGAGGTAAGTGTTTATGTAGCCAAAGCTGGAGTCCGGTAATTGAGTGATTTCTAGAAGCAATTAAATCTAGCAAACTGGAACTATCCAATGTTGCCATCACTACCGTTCTTTAAGATCTCAAGAACTTGTTCAGCGTTTGATATTATTCCTTCCAAAAGTCCTGGAAGTCTTTGTTTCTAACTTGAATTTTTCTTATCCTGCTTGAGGCCTATTTCTTTAGTCCTTAGTCTTTCATTGTGGTTTAGAATCACAACTTAGATCTGAATGGGTCTTTAAACAGCATATGTTATAATTTTCTCCTTTTTCAGATTATGTACTGAGGCTTAGGAAAGTTACATGATTTGCCTGAGAATAGACAGTTATTAACAGAGTATTTTTTTAAAATTAAATATCAAATGCAGTTAGTTTGACTGAAATGCAAATGCATAGTCCCTTCAAGAAGACTCCCGCTTCCTTGGACACTGTGACAGTGGCATAGCTGTTCTCAGGACTGCATTCTGGAGGCTGAGTCAACATTCCAGCTTAGCTCTAGCAGCCCTCATGTACTCCTCTGTCCTGTGTCAAGTGCCAAACCTGAGTAATTTTACAGGAAAAAGAACAAGTAATCATTGCCCTGCCTATACAACCAAAGGTTAGTTTACTATAATACAAGGGAAAATCTACAAGTGTTAAATGAACCTGCTCTAGCGAGCAGCCCCAGAAAGAAAAAGAGAGAATGAAAACATAACAAAACCTTTTTTAGGGAAAAGTTAAGATAAAATCATTCATATAAATTATAAATGGCTGATAATGGTATAGCTGCCTTCCTGGTGTCCTTGAATTCTAAAAGAAAATAACTCCTTGCCTAAAATTTAGGTCCTCTCACCCATAGAATTTAATCTGTGCATTAGTCTAATATGCACCATTCTAATAATGGTTAATAACCATTACCTTAAATGATTATAATGAAGCTCTAATAATGGAATTTTAGGCATCAGAGTGCAGAAGATGGAATCTGGGGTCAGGAAAGCCATGCTAACAACTCCAAAATCATATCACACAGGTACTCACTCATTTACCTGACTCTGAAAGGGGAATTTTTGGTTTAGGTTCTCTACCAGTGAATTTTAGTTCACTAGATGAGCTTGCAAGAGCTTGTAACTTGTGGGGTCAGTTTCTCTGTATCACAAAGGGAAAGGTACTCCTCCGTGGATTGTTTTCAGAAGCAGCAGCTGCGTCGAGAGGGCCGGCCTGAATGTCTGACTGCCTTGGAAGCTCCAATACCTGCTAGACACTTTGGGGCAGTGGGGTCGGAAGACCCGAATTCAAGTGTCAGCTCTGTCACTTTCTCTGTAATTCTAGAGGAGTTACTTAGGCTCCCTGAACCTTAGGCAACTTCTCCTTAAAAAGGAGATATGATATTTTTCCGACTTAACTCATGAGTGAGTTGTAAGGATTAATCAGTCTGTTCCACCAGCATCCAGTGAGCCCCTCCTAGGTGCTGTGAACTGCACTGAGCCCAGGGGATACAAAGATGGGTGAGACACAGTTTCTGTACTTGAAGAGCGCACAGACCAGTACAAGGAGGAGTTAGTAAATGTGAAAAGGCATGGTAAGTGTTAAAGTGAATATCAGTCACCATCAGCAGGAGCGAGAACAACAGTTTAGTGTTTGAAGAACCAAGTAAATGGTTTCTGTCTTTTTTAGGGAGAACATGTGCACTGAGCTCATTCCCTACGACGAATTTTATCTCCTGCTTGTCCAGGAGATAAAATCTCACACTCTTGGTTCAAAATCACTGCTGTTGATTGCCTCCTAGTCTCCCATGATTGTAACCTCTTTCAGGGCAGGCATGAGGTTTTTTCTTTGACACTTTGGGGGTATGTTTAATAGATACCAGTGGAGTGACAGGTTGATTTAACCTTGCTAACCTGTTTGCTCAGGCCAGATGTTTGCTTAGGCCAGGAAGTTACTGCTAAACTTATTAATGTTCTTTCAACAAATATGTATTGAGTTCCTACACTGTGTCAGATTCTATTCTAGATTCCAGAACACAGCCTTTGCCCTAGTGCGATAGAGTGAGGGGCTGCTGGTGGGGCACGAATGCCTCTCTGAGGAGGTGATATTGAGCTGAGACTGAATGATGAAAATAAGCCAGGCATATAAAGATCTGGGGAGAGTGTGTTCATGCAGAAAGAGCAGCAAGTGTAAAGGCCTTGAGGCAGGAACAACCTTGGGGTGTTCAAGGACCATAAAAAGAAGCCATGTAGCCAGGATCCCGTGGACAGAGGAGAGAAGGATTCAAGATGAGGGGAAGAGGTGGCGGATTGTATAGGGCCTGGTAAGGAATTTGGCTTTTATTCTAAGTATAACAGAAAGCCATTGGAGGATTGTAATGAGGGGAGTGATATGATCTCCCTTTTTAAATAGATTATTCTGGCTGAGACATGGAAAATGGACTATGAGAGTGAGTTGGGGGCAAGAATGGAAGCAAAGAGTTCAGTTAGGAGACGATTGCAGTACTAGAGTCAGCAGTTGCTGGTGGCCTGGATTAAGGTGGAGATGGGGAGAAGCCAGTGAATTCTAGACATATTTTAGAGTGAGTTAGCCCACAACTCCTTAAGGCTAATCCTGTTTGACAGCCTGGTTTCCTTTTCTTCAGTGCCTAGGTTGGATGGCTCCTTACACCAACGCAGCTAGGGGATTAGGAATGGTCCAGAGTGAGGCAGATAGAGCCTCCTGTAGCCTGGCTGTTTAATTCTGCTATTTAGGTGTTAAGTTGTCAGGCAGTTCTGCAGATGTGCCACGGGGGTGGGGGACAACCTGGATAAATCTGACTAAAGCAGGAAATGTCATAGGGTAATAGAGAATACGGCCTGTCCTCTCCCACTACTGTACTGTTAGTATACAAAGTAGAGACTAGAGCCCCTTACTACAAAACTACAGCCTGACCATAGAGGTTTTTAATTAATCTTTCTGCAGAAAGTTAAACAGCTTTCTTATTTTGCAAAATGTACCAACACACAAATTTACATATACTTTTAGGTTTTCCTAGATCCCCTCTAGCCTATCACTGGTTCCCACTTGGGAATTAGGCACATAAAGCTCTGAGGAGTATGGAGGGTGACTTGATTTGTAATAGACCCTATGAGGAAAATTCAGTCTTTTTTACTTTCACTGGATTCGTTTATCCTGACAATCTATAATTATCAAGATGTTAACTGAAAGCTGCTTTTGTAAAAAGGAAAGAGAGGTGGTAAATCAGGATAATGGAGAAAAGACTCACAAAGATTCTAAAACATTCTAAATGTTTTTTAGTAGTTCATCTCTTTAATGTTCAGTTCATTAACATCTCATCCTTCCCTGCTCTGTATGTGTATTTTAACAGTTCTATACCTTTACACATTTCTGAAGCAACAGAAAATAGGCTTTTGCGTATAATCCCTTATGTAAATCAAAGCCAAATGCCTTATATTCTAGAATTTTAAGTTTCTTCAGTAATAGTGGGAAAGAAAGGAGACAAGTTCTTTTGTAGAATTTTTCACAAAGAATAAAAAGGCTCATTTTCTTATGATGTTGTGGAAAGAACACTAGACAAGGAATTAGAAGATCTGAATTCTAGTCATTGTTCTACCAATTTCCAGCCATGTAATCTTGAGCAAGTCATTTACTCACCGTGTATTGATTGAGCACTTTCTGTGTGTCAGGCGTTGGGCAAGGAAGTGCAGATGCAGAGATGAGCAAAAGAGGAGGCGGAGATTTTATGGAGCTTTTTGTTTTGTGAGCACAATGGAGAATACAGACATTAACCACTTACAATCACACAAATGAGTGATTACCACATAGCAAAAAGACAATGAAGAAAACGCAGAAAATGGTTTAAGAACCTTTCTGAGCCCTGGTTTTCTTATCTGTAAAATGGTAAATATGTACTTCATAAAATCATTGATGATCAAATAAGATAAATGTTGATATATAAGGCAATATAAAGGTTAGAAATAAGTTGTATTAATTAAGGAATATAACCACTGATATCAGTTCAACAGCAAGAATTAAATCCTTTGATAGTGTGTGTGTGAGGACAGGATCGAGTCAAACTCAAATTCTAGGAAGTTTCTACTTAAACCTTGAATAGCTGCCAATTAGAAACATGAATGGGAAATTCAGTTTTTGTCTAGATTCTTGTGTTGATTTTTCCCCCCTTCTTGTTTCTTTGGCAGCTTATTCTCTCCAGTTGGGAAGGAGGCTACAACTTACAGTGTCAAGATCTTGCCAGTGCAGGGGAAGCCGATATTCGGGTGAGTCATGAGAAGCAAATCAACTATCTATAACCATTTCTCACTGAAAAGGAGAGAAGGCTTTCTCCTTCCAGATATGAGGTTGGGGGCTGAGATTAGATAAGAAAGGGACTCCTGTTCTAATAGAAGTGCTTGGTCACAAAAATGTTTTCCAAATGTCCATCTATGGGACTGACTGAATACACCATGGCACATCCACGTAGTGGGTCCCTTTGCAAAATGGAATAAGGAAGATCCTTATACTGTGATAGAATAATCTCCAGGATGTATCTAAGTGAAAACAAGCAGCCTGCAGACTGTGTTCATAAGATAGCAGCTTTTGTGCAAGAAATGATATGAATATATGTGTGTGTATGTATTTGCTTATGTCTTTAAAAAGAAACAATGGCAGAATAAACCAAAAGCTAACAAAATGGTTTCCTTTTTTGGGGAGGGAACAGGACAGAGGGGATAGGCATGGAAGCCAGACTTCTCTGAATGTACCTTGTGTATCTGGTTTGGGAACTATTAAGTGTTTTACAGAATTATAAAACAAAATTAAATTTAAAAAGAAAGTAAAGCAACCTCCCCGAAAAAACTTGGAAATAAACTAAGATAAATGAATCTACCCATATATTAAGTTGGTGACATAATCACCCAAAGAATTATTATTTCAGCTGACTTTCAAACAGTGTTTTGACTGGACATCCCTGGGGAGATATGTCTTAACATATTCAGTAATTTTTTTGGATGCTATTATTAATAAAAATATTGGTATTGTTTTTGAGACTATTATAGGTATACTGTAGGATAAAGTAAGTATATAATAATAATCATTACAATTGATTACATGTAATCAATGTTAATATTGCAACTAATATTTGAAACATAGAAGGAAAAAGATACCAATAAAAAAGTTAAACTAAAACCCAGTAATCATAGACTCAAATTGGAAATAGCAGAATTAACTTTATTTTTTCTAAAACCAAAACATGTTTTTTAGCTCTGTGTATAGAAAAGCCCTCACTTATGACAACCCAGTACAGTGAGCAATGAATACCCAGATTGTGCTCTCTAAATATAATTTCTACCAGAAGGGATTAGAGTTCTTAGAGAATTGGCCACTTCCTGGTTTGGGCTGGGAAATGTACATAAAAAGAATCCAGGACTTCTTGTGACAGAAAGCAAGGAAGCTGTCCAAGACTACTAGGGTTATGACAGAAAGATATGGGAGCCACCTTGAAGGGACTCCCACTGCTAAGGATGGGACAATTTGAGTCGTCAAAAAGAAGACTGACTGGAATGGATTGAAACATTTTAAAGATTTTATTTATTCATTTTTTTCCCCCCAAAGCCCCAGTAGATAGTTGCATGTCATAGGTTCACATCCTTCTAGTTGCTGTACGTGGGACTCGGCCTCGCGTTGGACGGAGAAGTGGTGCCTCGGGGCGCTCCCGGGATCTGAACCCGGGCCGCCAGCATCAGAGCGCGCGCACTTAACCGCTAAGCCACGGAGCCGGCCCTGAAACATTTTAAATTTATAAAAAACCTTGAGTTTAAAATGATACAAAGAGAAAACAACCCTCATTGTTACCTTTTGAAGGTTGCTAGAACACCAGCTCATTCTAGAAAAAACAAAAGGGAAAGAATTAAACATTTATCTTGCCTTTCATATGTGAATTTCCAAATAGATGAAGAGGAAGAGTTCGTCTCTGTAGAAGAGAAAAATGCATAAGTAACAAGAAAATGAGAAAATCACGGTTTTGCAGCTCCTACTGAAGTAATGGACCTAGACAGCAGTCATTGGTACATGGTAAAACTACTCGGTGAAAGTGACGGAAGCTTCATAACGATTGGATTAGGCTGACAACACGTGTACTCGCTGTTCCTCTGAATATCAGTGGACCAAGCAGAGATCATGTCCCCCTTGATGTGAGGCGATAGGAAGGACACAGAACCACCCGTGATGTCTTCTGGCCAAAAACCTTAAACCTGAATCCAGTGGAGCCTCTACATCCAATTGCTAGTTACAGAAAATGTGGGAGAGAGAGAAACAAGTTAGATAACACTAGGAAGAAACAGTCATCCAAATCTATGATATTAGGAATCCTACACAACAACTGAGCTGGTTTGTCTAAGAAGAGCGAGCTGTGGGAGAAAAGGGAGGAGCAAGGAAAGGGAACTGTTACTGATGAGAAGAGACTGAACAACCACATCAGACAGATGCAAGCCGGCCCCTGTTTGGGTCCTGATGCAAACAAACCAATTCTAAGAAGACATTTTTGAGACGGAGATTTGAACGTGGGCTGGGCTATTAGAAGATAGTAAGGAAACATTAATTTTATCAGATAATATCTCGGTGGTTATATTAAAACAAAGTCTCCCCATCTATTAGAAGTTTTTATAGATAAAATTATATTTTGGATTTGCTTATAATACTACACTCTCTCCCAAAAAAGTGGTGGGAAATAGAATTGATTCAACAATTGTAATCATATTGAAAATTTTGAAGTTCAGTGCTAGACATCGGGGGGTTCGTTATACTTATTCTCCCTGCATTTGTGAATGTTTGAAAATTTCCATAATAAAAAACATGGGTTATTAATAATAGAGATGGTAGAAACCTTTTAATTAAAATCTTTAAGATATACACTTTCAAAACACCTATAAAGCTATAATACAAAAGAGTAAGATACATAGATTTCTCTATACCCATCTTATTTCTAACGTATTATCACAAACCAGTGCACTTTGGGATACCATACAATTCTCTAGAGGCCATTGTTGTATTTAGTTATTTATGGTTTAATATTTTGGAAGTTAACTATTCCCTGCTGCTAATTTAGTTAATCATGACCTATTGCTGTTGGGGAGGAGGAAGAGACATGAAAGAAGTAGTATAATGCTACTGCTCTTGGGAGGATAATGCTTGAGACAAAACATATGTACATTAGAGGAATAGAGAAAAATTGAAATCTAGTGTAACCAACAGTAGTGCTCTCCTGTTGAGTGCTAGGCACTGAGCAGCGGTGAATGAGACAGTCTCTGCCTTCAAGTGATTTACAGACTATTGGAAAGATAGATTCATGACACTACCCTTTATTATAGTTATTGATGATAGAGGCAGAAAGTAATTTGCGAATACAAATGAAGAAGTGGTTGATTCAGCCTGAAAAAAGCAAGGAGAGGGCCAGGTAGAGTCCCAGAGAAGAGGTGGCATTTAAGAGGAGTGTTAATCAAGGATGACTAGGAATATGCCAGCCATGAGGGAGGGAAGGAGAGTTGGAGGCGGGGAGCAGAGTATTAAGAGGCATGGTGCAGAGAGGGCAGCAGGGCTCGAGGGGGAGCAAAGCCCACTTTAACAGCACGCAGAATTCCTTGGTGGTGTGCTCGGAGGAGGATGGTGGAAACAGCAGTCAGCGCAAACCCGGGAAAGATCCTGTGTCAGACTAGGAATCATGGACTTGGTTCTGTAAGTGCAGAGGAAGAACTTGATCAGATATGTATTTTGGAAAATTAATTCATGTTCAATAGAGTGGGTGGATTGCTGGGAATAGGAAAAACGAGGCAAAGATATCAGGTAAGGTGCTTTCTCGAAAGTCTGCGAGAGCAATGCACGCTAGCGAAACACAGCAGCACGCAGAGTGCTGAGAGGTAGGGCAGCATGGGGGCGTTTTCATTGCTCACCTTTTTTCTCTTTCCCGTTGGAAAATTCTTGTAGGTCGCCAAGGTGCTATGGTGGTACTACTTCTCCAAATTAATAGAGTTCCTGGACACAATTTTCTTTGTTTTGCGGAAAAAAACCGGTCAGATTACTTTTCTTCATGTATACCATCATGCCTCTATGTTCAACATCTGGTGGTGTGTTTTGAACTGGATACCTTGTGGGCAAAGTAAGTTATTTTGTTAAATTTTTGGTTCTGGGTAATGGATCTTGCCAGAGCTCTAGTGAGTCTCTTGTACTGAACACTGCATGCGGTTCGGGAGGGAGGGAAGGGTGGCCAGGCGTGGCCGGCTGTGTCACACGGGGAAGTGCCGGTTTGCCAGGGGCCAGTTAGCTTCTGATACTGACAAAATCTGAGTCTTACCTTAAATTTTAAAAATATTTTCTTTTCCGTCCACCAAGTGTCCGATGCCCAGAAGCACGTACCTCAGCTGGAGCAGTTTTACTCCAGTACCTGAGACTGTAGAACTAAATATAGCATCTTCCACAATCACCACTTGGCCATGGTATAGATTGAGTCGTTTCAATTTTTAGGGCTTGTTTTTCCGTTCTGAAAAATTAAAGTCACATCACTGTGACCCACCAAAGCAGTGGCTTTCAAATTTTTTTTTTTTTACTGAAAACTACAATAAGAAATACATTTTATATCATAGCTCAATGTACTCATTCATATGGATATATTTTGTATGAAACAAATTTCATAAACAATATTTACGCTGGCCGTGTGTGATGTAATTTTTTTTTATTCTATTTCACTTTTTTAAAAAGCTGATGACAACTCTCACTATGCTGATTTCACAGTTCACTAATGGGTCAGTTATGACCTGCAGTTTGAGAAACACCGAGCTAGAGAGAACAGTACTTTCTATTCAATGTTGTCTTGTACCCAAGAATTTAAAAATTATTTTAAATGATTATTTTACCCATTTCCAGATGAGAAAATCAAAATTTACAAAGTCAAGGTAACGTATCCAAGGGGACATAGCTAATAGGGGTCCTCTAGCTCCACAGTCTCTTCTGCCACAGGATTGACAGCTCACAGACCACCCATCTGGACCCCAAGCTCACACATGGCGCTCACGCTGTGCTGGGCACTGTTCTGAGCCCTTTACACATATCGATTGATTTAATCCTCACAACAGCGAGCTCCCTGTTTCCAACAAATAACCCATCTCTGACATCTCACCTCTTACAGCTAAATCCTTTTGACCCTTAGTTGACCCAACATAGAACTTAGCCCTTTCTCCTTGGTTTCCTGAAACACCATCCACCCGTGTTGATGGCGGTTATAGAGAAGATTTCATGAAGATGATGTCAGAGGATGGGGGAGTGCTACAGCACAGCTTAGCACAGAAAATATCCTAAAACTGGATTTTAGCTATTCCTTGTCCTAAAAGTCCATGAGATGGCCCAGCCACTGGGAAGGGCTCATTGGCCAGTCTCTCCTCAGTTTCAGCCTTTTCTCATCCTGCTGGACCCTCTCTCTCCTCCATATTCTCTCACCTTCCCCAGCATCTCCTGGTTCCTAGGTCCCTTTCGGGTAGGTTTTATTTACTTAATTATAAAGAGCAACGAATTTTCCTTGCCTCTTTAGCACCCTGTTTAGCTGTGTACTGAAGGGTCTCTTTCTACAATCAAAATGGCTCATCAAAGGTTTAGCTAGGGCCCGCCCCGTGGCTTAGCGGTTAAGTGCGCGCGCTCTGCTACTGGCGGCCCGGGTTCAGATCCCGGGCGCGCACCGATGCACCGCTTCTCCGGCCATGCTGAGGCCACGTCCCACATACAGCAACTAGAAGGATGTGCAGCTATGACGTACAACTATCTACTGGGGCTTTGGGGATAAAAAGGAGGAGGATTGGCAGTGGATGTTAGCTCAGAGCCGGTCTTCCTCAGCAAAGAGAGGAAGATTAGCATAGATGTTAGCTCAGGGCTGATCTCCCTCACAAAAAAGAATAAATAAAATAAAATAAAAAAGGTTTAGCTAAAGCAAAGACACTTCTTTCAAAGAAATTCTGCCACCAGCTTTAAGCTGACATTTCTTTTTCTCCGATTAGCTGATAGTAATGACAGTTAAAGAGATAGTAAAGACTTTGCACATCAGGAATTCCCTGTGTGGTTGGCACTCCAACTGAAAAGCTATCCCAGGTTAGTCCTTCTATCTAGGCAGCTTTTGGTGAATCTTGGAGTAACAGCACGATATTCGGGTGATTTTTCAGGGTGAATTTTGTTAGCGCCATATTTGTTATTCGTCTTCAATTATGATGCACCGGAAGAATCTCACTGGACAAAGAGTCAGTCCTACTTTCTAGAAGAGCAGTAATTGCTATGTTGTCCTTTTATAGGTTTCTTTGGACCCACACTGAACAGTTTTATCCACATTCTCATGTACTCCTACTACGGCCTTTCTGTGTTTCCCTCGATGCACAAGTACCTTTGGTGGAAGAAGTACCTCACTCAGGCTCAGCTGGTATGTTAGCCCTTCTTTCAGCTCTTCTCCATGTGAGGCAGCCAGATATCCTCCTGGATGAGAAAAGGAAAGAGGAATCTGCCTTCTTGGAAAAGTCAGAGGCTTTTCTAAGTGTGATGAGGCTGCCTATTTTTCTCTAAAAATGGCCTTTTAAGAGTGAAACCTTGTATTAAAACATCCTTTATGGGGCCAGCCCCCTGGCTTAGTGGTTAAGTGCGCACGCTCTGCTGCTGGCGGCCCGGGTTCTGATCCCGGGCGTGCACCAACGCACCGCTTCTCCGGCCATGCTGAGGCCACGTCCCACATACAGCAACTAGAAGGATGTGCAGCTATGACGTACAACTATCTACTGGGACTTTGGGGAAAAAAAAAAGAAGAGGATTGGCAATAGATGTTAGCTCAGAGCCAGTCTTCCTCAGCAAAAAAAAGAGAAGGATTAGCATGGATGTTAGCTCAGTGCTGATCTTCCTCACAAAAAAAAAAAAAAGAAAATCTTTGTGTATGCAATTCAGTTAGCTTATTCCTTGCTTTGAAATGTAGACAGATACTTTTTTGTGTGAGGAAGGCTAGCCCTGAGCTAACATCTGTTGCCAATCATCCTCTTTTTGCTGAGGAAGATTGGCCCTGGGCTAACATCTGTGCCCATCTTCCTCTACTCTGTATGGGACATGGGACGCCGCCACAGCATGGCCTGATGAGCGGTGCGTAGGTCCACGCCCAGGATCCGAACCTGGGAACCCTGGGCCCCCGAAGTGGAGCGCAAGAACTCAACCACTACGCCACTGGGCCAGACCCACAGATACTTTTAAAGTTAATGTCTATGTTAAATCATTTTTATCTAAATAATTTCAACTGCTACTTTTCCATGAGAAAATTAATAATGGGCAATTATATATACTTACAAATATAATTTCAAATAGAGTTTGTGGACAGGCTAGTGGGCTGCTTCAGTGTTTTCTTGTTTTATCCCTGCAAAATTTAGGGAGTAAGAGTACAGTCATGTGTTGCTCAATGACGGGGATGCATTCTGAGAAATGTGTTGTTAGGTGATTTTGTCGGTGTTTGAACATCACAGAGTGTACTCACACAAACCTGGATGGAATAGCCTGCTACACACCTAGGCTTTAGGGGACTAATCTTACGGGAGCACCGTCGTATATGCCGTCTGTGCTTGACTGAGATGTCGTTATGCAGCGCATGACTGTAGTTGATTTCTAAATGTATAAAACTTGAGAGGGGTTTTTACACAGCTCGGCCTGGTTCCCTCACGGTGCTGCCCTTTCCACCCCTTCCAGGTGCAGTTCGTGCTCACCATCACGCACACCATGAGTGCTGTCGTGAAACCGTGCGGCTTCCCCTTCGGCTGTCTCATCTTCCAGTCTTCGTACATGCTTACATTAGTGATCCTATTCTTAAATTTTTATGTTCAGGTAAGTTAAATGTAACTATTCAGAAGTAAAACGTAACAGACTGCGTATTTTTGCATCATATATGTTTAATTTTACTGATTAAATATTATAGCAGCACGTGCTAATTGATGGATTCAAGTGCCAGAGGTGCACAAAGTCAACCATAGACCTTGCATTCCTACCTCCTCTCCCCACATCCTCCTCCTCCTCGAAGGATAACTGCTGTTAATAGTCTAGCGGGCATTCTGTTAAACATTTTTCAATGCCTGTATATAAAATTCTATCAAAAATATTATGCATTTGTAGCACGTATTTGTACCATGCCACCAAAGTCTGACATCTGAAAATTAAACACTGTGTATAGTAAGACAGATCCAGGAAATTTATGTGAATGGAGAAAAATATGGGCTAAATGAATTGAATATTAAAAAATTGTTTCCATATCAGCTACTGTGATGTTGCAGACTCACTGTTTATTTGGAAAAAATTCTTTTAAGGCAAACCAGTGTGGAAAGGTCACATTGACTTTTTCTGAAGTGTCATTTTCTTTTTAATTAACAATTTAAATGGAAGAGAGCTTCAAAATGCAATTTCAAAGCAACTCCGTTATGCAGAACTGATCAAAGTGGAAACAGCACAGGCCTCAGGTGGCTGTAGATTTTAAATTGCTCTCCTTTGTGGGCTAGGGAAACAGAAAGCTTCTGAAAAAAATAAGTACATTTATATTCAAAACAGTCCTTTTGAAATTGTATTCAGCTGTATTTTCTTCTTCAGACAAACAAGTGCTTTCTGACTTTTTAGTTTGCACTTGTTGAAAGTCAAGCCATAGTGGTTTTATACAAAGTACAGCTGTGGGAACTCAACTTTTGACAGCTTTTCAGCTCTTGTGTCTCTGACGGATTGGCTAGGGTTTGCCTTTTATGAGACAGAAGTTTCCTTTGAGAATTTTTAAAGAAATAACCATTGATAGAACCAAACAAAGCCACACACACACACAAAAAAGGCAGAATGTTAAAGGAAAGCTCACGTTTTGGTGTGTGGTGTGGAAACTTGGAGAGAAGCGTGTGGCCGGGCAGGGCACGCACAGCTCTGCCCCTACTGTTGGCTCAGACTGAACCTTAGTCCTTTATGGCTGAGCATATTCTTTTAGTCTTGACCCTTGTTAATACTACCGCTTAGGAAAAAAAAAAGATAAAAATGAGATGAGATCAGGTATTTTTGTCTGTATAGGAAGGATATGCAAAAACCAAGCCAGAATCCCAGGTACTAGTACTTTTAAAGTAACAGCACTTTTTCACTTGAATTGTATTGTTAAAAAATTATATCCTTAAATAAGTCATAGGGATGTAATGTACAGCATGGCAACTATAGTTAATAGTACTGTAGTGTCTATTTGAAAGTTGCTCAGAGAATAGATCTTAAAAGTTCTCATCACAAGAAAAAAAATCTGTAACTATGTATGGTGACAGATGTTAACTAGACTTACTGTGGTGATCATTTTGCAATATATACAAATATTGAATCATTATGTTGTACACCTGAAACTAATGTATATCAGTTATACCTCAATTAAAAAAAGCTCAAAAAATTATATCCTTTCCTAGTAAGCAAGTAATGCAGAATAATTTTAATGCTAATCCCATAGTACATAATACATAAATACTAACCTAATGTAGATAAAGTGAAAGAAACAACCTTTCATTAGAATTCATGCATTTATCTTGGTTTTACCCTATTTTTATTTTTATTTATTTATTTATTTATTTTGTGAGGCGATCAGCCCTGTGCTAACATCTGCCAATCCTCCTCTGTTTGCTGAGGAAGACTGGCCCTGGGCCAACATCCGTGCCCATCTTCCTCCACTTTACATGGGACGCCACCACAGCATGGCTTGCCAAGCAGTGCATGGGTGCCCGCCTGGGATCCAAACCAGCGAAACCCGGGCAGCTGCAGCAGAGCGCACGCACTTAACCGCTTGCGCCACCGGGCCGCCCCCCCCCCCTTCTTTTATTTTTAACCAGAAGCTTAAAAGAAATGCCATACTACAAACAAGAATTCTTATTAGTCCAGTACCTGAGAAAATCATGCACTGTTTTAGACTATATGCCACATTAGAGACAAGGTCTTATTAAAGAATCCTTTTTTCTTTCTTTTTCTCTTCAAAATACACACATCTAACAGACATACCGAAAAAAGCCAATGAAGAAAGGTATGGAAGAGCCACCTGCAGGAAAAGAAGTGAAGAATGGTTTTTCCAAAGCCTACTTCACTGCAGCTAACGGAGTGATAAACAAGAAAGCCCAGTAGACGTCGAGGAGCAGACAAAGCATATAGAATAGCCTAACAGATTCGCTTGTTCTAAAGCAAAGACTGATTTGAAAGTTATATATGTTTTAACATAAACTAATTTCTTTTGAGTTTATAAATCATTTGTACCCGGAATGTGTTAATATATTGCTATTAGGTTAATCTGTTAACTGAATGCTTCCGTCAGCATTGAGGTGAGGCTGAACTCTGCAGACCTCAGAACCGGTGCAACTTCTCTCTCCTCCCCTCCTCCCCAGACTCAACCCTCCCCAGAAACTGTCGTCATAACGCCTTATACACAGACAAAGCCAGGAAACATAGAATGTTGTTTTTCACAGCAAGTCTTCAAATAAAAAGTTAGAGTTTTGTTCAGATTAAAATGTTTAAAACAAAATGTTAATTGTCTTCTAAGTACAGGGTATGTTCTAATCTCTATTAAGCAATAATTGTCAGTGCGTAAAGTAATCAATCATCCATTTGTTCCTTTAGGAATCAACTCCAGAAAATATTAACATGAGATCATAAATGGGAGATCTAGCAAAACTTTTCTCTCTTAAGTTAGAGTCTGTCTGTCAAATTCCCACAACTACTCTTAATTCTCAACTTAGTGATATGGTAATGAAATGTGTATTTTTTATTTTGAAGATTAGTTTTTTTTAAGAAGAAAGAAAATCTTCTGCCAAACCCTCATAGCTCAGGGGCTTTGGATAGGAGTTGTTTCTCAGTTTTAATTTGGTTTCCTTAATTATTCACATATTCATGTCTACCTCCCCCGTTAAGTTACCCTATGTTAGGATATAGACAGACACAACACTCAGTATTAAAAGCAGGATCTAAATCTGGATGCTCATTTCCTTTCTGAACAGGAACTTGAGTCCAGTCTGCCCTTTTCCTTAGAATGATATACTGCTGGAATATTTATAAATCAGAATTAACAGAGCAGTGGGGGGTGCAAAATAGACATTGAATTTGTCAACTATTTCTTGTGAGCCTACTTCTGAGTATTATCCCCAAATACCTGCTATCACTTTGCAGGTTAAGCTTTTGAAAATAGGAAGAAAAAGATGGAGGACTATGAAAAGATTCCCACACTGAGCCATGGCCTGGTCAAGAGCCATGATTAAAAGTCATTTGGCAAACCCAGCACACCTTTCTCTGCTAAAATAATGCAGTCTCTACTGAGAGAACCCAGCACAAGAGCAGAGGAAGGCGTTCATGAAGATTTCCCTTCCCCCTCAGTGTGGGACTGTTATTTACTATTAAATTGTACCAAGAATGGGAACAATATTTTCTAAAGATTTGATGTTTTATACCCGATAAAACAAGACTTGCCAACTTGGACACTTGATCTTCTTTCCTACTTTCTTCTTTTTAAAGTTAAGTTTTTAGGTCATAATGTTGACATCAAATGCTTAAGTGCCAGAAAGGCGTTTTCACATTACCCCAACACATTACAGTCTGTTTGGACTGCCTTTCTGTCTTTGTGCCATTTTTTTCCTGAGCTCCAGTTTTTAAATTATTTTTCCTGTTTTTTTTTTTAAAAAAAAAACAAAAAACATTGACTTTTGTTCTGACATGGTACTGACTCTGCTAACTTCTCTTTCATGTCAGCTCCCCCCTCGGGATTCTGGCCCCTTTCTGAAAGGTGACTGATCCTAGTCTAGTCCTCATGGTGAAGGTGCTGTGCCCTCTCACTTCCTCTTCTCTACCCGCTGACCCATCTCTATTGAACAGACGTCTTCTGTCTGATGCCCACGTACTCTTGGATTTATTTTTCTAGAAAGTTTTCTAAAACTGACTTGCTCTAGGGTGCTCAGTCCCCACTTCCATCACATTATAACTGTGTGCTGTAAGTTTCGTTCTCTCCCAGAAACTCACTGTAAAATAAGGGCTAGCTTTGAGTATGGCTGTTATTGCTCCTCCGTGACAAAACATGGGTTGGACTAAGCAGCAGCCCCTTGGAGCGACTGGACTCTGGTTCAGTTTTAGGTCTCAAACACGGGCTAAAATCTGTTACCCCAGTTCATTCCAGGTAAAGATGAGACTCAGACATCACTGGTCATTCGCTGTATTCAGCTTATTCTTAATTGTCAACGAGGCCCTCAAGTCTCACCACTCAGCATCATACCTGCGATTTTGGATGCTCGCATGGGCTTCATATCTGCATAGCAAGGAGGGAAGCCATCCTTCAGAATGACCAAGTCAAGCAGCTATAAGTACAAGGCAGCTTGAAACTTCTCAGATCAAAGGGAAAAACTTGGGTAGTTTACACTTTCAAGCTGAATTTAGTTAGAGGTTTCAGGAAGCTTATTTCCAATTTGGTCTTTAATTCTAGAGAAGGTTAATAAAACACTTATAGCCTTAAACCATTCAAGGGCTGGTAAAAATACACAGAAATGTCTTAGCCACAAAATTGGAATCAGGTAAATATTTTAACCTGTCATTGTGTTGCAACTTTAAAAAACAAAATGTTTACTTTGAATGTGATTTTCCTAAAAAAACTAAAAAAAAATGTGTATAATCTGTTATGGGAAATGTTTTTTTTTCCCAAATAAATTTCCTCTTATTAATAGGAATAAAAACACTTAAATGAATAGTAAGCATATCTGTTAATAATTCCCACAATTTTTTAAACAAAATAGAATATCTACTTAATGAAACACAGAAATCAAACAGAAATTTTAACCTATCAAAATTACATATTGAACTATTTAGGCATTTGGAGGATAAAGTCCTCCTCATCCCCATCAGAAAGATATTTCTTATTTTTATTTTAAGGCATAATGGTATTTACTGTGATGGGCAGAATAGCACTTTGTGTATAAGAGATCATTCTAGTTCTTTCCAATATCATTTTACAATGTTTCTGGGGGCTTCCTTATTTGGACAATAAGGATATCACTTTTGTGGTTTTCCTTTGAAAGTACTTACATCTTAAGAACATAGTATCATGATTGGGATGGCTAGGGAGGCAGGAGAAGTCATTTTTCTTTGTAGATAAAAAGTATTCTGTATGATTGTTGTATAATAAATTGATTTTTACACTAAAGTAAAGCCAAGTTGTGAGTTTTCTTATTTGGTTCAGAGAAGTTAAAATATGTGCCTGCAAGGTATTCCAAATGACCTATTACTCAGGAATGTTTTTACACAATAAAGTGATATTTTAGCAATTAATTTCAGACATTTAATTATTCCTTCATTTCAATAAGCAATGGTCTTTTATCTAACATTATTACCTTTACATAGTATTTTCTTTTTCTTCTGGGAAAGATTCACCCTGAGCTAATATCTGTTGTAAATCTTCCTTCCTCTCTTTTTCTTTTTTCTCTCTCCCCAAAGCCCCAGTACATACTTGTATATTCTAGTATAAGTCCTAGTTCTTGTATGTGAGCCACCACCACAGCATGGCTACTGACAGATGAGTGGTGTGGTTCCACATGCAGGAACCGAACCTGGGCCGCTGAAGCGGAGTGCACCAAACTTTTAACTGCTAGGCCATAAGGGCTGGCTCTACATAGTATTCTTATACCAAGTAAAACTATTCAGAAAGTGGTCATTCACAAGAAAAATTTAAGACCAATTAGATAAGCAGAGGATATAAAGATTATAACAAGCAAATTGCTGTATAGAATAACACAGGGAGGAACATGCATTTGTTGAGGAGATGACATTAGGTACAAACAACATCATGGGATGCTCTGGAGCCAAGGACTCTCCCTTTGCCTGCCCAGACAGGCAGAGAGGAGGCTGTAGCAGCTCAGGCCGGGGGTATGTGGGCTGAGACTGGACCATGGTGAAGACTTAAGTGGAGGTCGTGGGGCAGATTACAGAGTGGCGTTGTGCCAGTGTGGAGTTTGGAATGTGATGTTAACAAGAACAAGACATAGCTCCAAAGGAAAGCTACGAAAGATGTGCTCAAAGTCTGCTTCTGAAGTTGCTTAAATTCCTAGGTAGTAACTGGGCTGGGACAGGCTATAGTAAGGGAGGGCAGGAGGGGAAGAGGGAATGGGAGAGGAAGAAAACAGGGAATGGGAGGTGGCACTGAAGAGGGGAAACTTCATTAACTCGCTGAAGGGGGGCTAGAGTTTGAGGGGGAGAGTGGGCATTTTAAAGAGCCTCCTCTTCACCTACTGGGATTTAATTATCTTAAACAGTGGGTGAAACCAATTCGTTACAACTTTGTGCTTAAAAATAAAAGGTAAATCCTATGTCCCTATGGCAAGGCCTAATACCTGTTGTTGCAAATTAAAGGCTGCTTATACATGATAAATGTTCACCTAAATAAGTTGCTTAGTTTCTTTACATAAAGAAAAATTCAGTGTGTGTTTTGATTACAGCAGGCTTTCTTCAAAATCAAATTCCATTCACGTATTTAAGGAAGAGTTCCACTCCAGAGCACACAAAGAAATAATCATTCTTACAAGACTAGCTACAGTCACCTAAAATATCCCTTGACCTTCAGTAAAACTTGGCTTTCAATCATGGAAAACAAAAGAGTAAAAGCTATTGATTTGTAGGTCATTTTTCTGTCTTGAGAAAGTGCACTGAGGCAATATTAGAATGACACCAGAAGGACAAGTAAATCTGAAATTCATACCCTCATTGAGCAATTTGTAAATGCAGTCCTCATGGCTCTTATGAGCAACCCACTGGGAGCCCATTAGAACCGTGTCTGAGGCTGAATCGTGTCTGGCAGCCCGGGTGGCTCAGCTGTCCTCATCCTTGGTGCTCTCCAAGCTCCTGGCACCTACCTTGACGTCTGCATGCACCCCAGTCTGTAACCTTGAGATGGGGCCTGTGCTCTCGTATTTTCCACGGTTTACCATCACTCATCATTTTACATTTGGCCCATCAACCTAGCTGACCCTCGAAGTTAACTGAATTCGTGAATCCTGAGCACTGAACAAAAGAAAAAAATCCTGCACAGTTTTGCCTGGACTGATGTCGTATACTTAGAGTGAAATGAACGTAACATTCCTGTTGGCTGCGATCCTAGTAACACATGTTAGAAGTTGCAAATTTCTCTGACAAGTTTAAGAACTCTACCTAGATAGTCCGTGTAGAACTAGCCTTTATTTTTTTTAAAGCTAGTTTAGTCCTATGGGCTTTGATAAACTCTGGAAACAGTAATGTTCAATTGAAAACGTCATCAAATCTGCCTTTCCCAGCGCTATTACGCTGTGTATTATGCTAGAGACACAGAAGTGACCCAGAGGAACTCTCTGCCCTTAGACTCCATCTTCGGGTACAGTCAATAGAGAAACATTTAGTTATAAAATAATAGAAGTACTTAAAACAGCTCACCAAGAAAACTTCCCTCAAGAAGGCAGTGCCTGAGCTTAGTTTTGATGGGTGAGGTGTTCTCCAAAGAGAGAAGGAGGGAACTTTGTTCAAGATTCCAGAGGTCAAACACCTGGGATTCGAATGGGAGTCACCATTCCTTCAGCAAATATTTCTCAAGTGCCAGATATCTGGGGTTTGGAATCAAATGGTGAAGAAAACCAAGTCTGTGCTCTTAAGCTCACGTTAGTGGTCATCTCCTGGAGGAAAAACAGGCAGCTAGCACTTTCAGTAGGAATGGGCTCTTTATGCTGTTAAACGTGTCAGGATTCTCAGTCGCCTCCCACTTACACGGGGGACTGAATATGAACGCTGAGACCACTGTTTATTCCTGATTCAGCTCACAACACCATTCTACTACCCCTGGCTTGAGGAAAATGACACAGATAACTGAAATGTCACTGTGTGAATCATTACACTTTTGAAGTATATTTTTTTCTCCTTGTGATAACAAAAGGACTACTGCACTGTGTTGGGTCCAATCTGAGAAGCAGAACCACTAGGAGATATCCACATATATCCATAACGGGATTTGACCTTACACAGAGTGGGAGTGATAAAGCTGCCTCTGTAAGGTTGTTGTCGTCGTGTCTGATGTTGGAGCTTGAAGCCCACGGGGCAGGCAGTCGGGAAGGGAGGATGGATGTAGAGTGGGGAAGATGGAGAGCAAGCCAGACCCACAGCGTGAGCTGGAGCCCACGAGGACAGACTGAAACCCTGACAGTTTTGTTGCCTCTGACCTTGGTGATGAGGGTGTCCTACAGAAGCCAGGGCCTTCACAGAGCTACGCACACACCTGGCCCAGAAGGAGGAGCTGACAGAGGATCAGGAGAAGGTGGAGCAGCTGCAGGCCCAGTGTCTACCTCACAGCACTGACGGGAGTCAGCAGATGGGCAACAGCACATGTGCACTACAAATGGCAGTCCCGTTACTCTGCCCTCCAAATCTCCCACCGGACTCACTCTGTGGCCCAGTCTCACCAGAAACACACAGGAGCAGGGATTCTGGGAAACACAGTTCAGCCCAGTCAAGTCATCACATTACAAATCCACCATATCCTGTTACAACAATCGAAAATGCCTGTGCCACATGAAGAAATCCAGTGACCCAATGGAAAAACTGAAAGGCAAGCTCCTAGCTTACCTGAATTCCCAGTAAAAGAGGCTTCAGCCAATAGTGACCAGTCTTCCCAGACAGTGTTTTTTCTCCATTATCTGGTCAGTAATAATGACTATCTCATAAATGGGAGAATGAAATCATTAAATGACGAGAAAAGTAAGAGCCTGACCAAGTACAGCTGAGCCTCCCACTCAATAAATCCCAGTGCATGTGGAAACAAGTTTTCTGGCTATCTTTGAGCTAATGCAAGCTGAGTTTTTTCATCTTGGAGATTTATCACTTTACTTATACATACTAGCTTCCTAAAAAGCATCAAAACTCTGAACTCACTGACACTTGTTGTCCACATATTCTCACCACTCTCAGCACCCCCCCCACCTTCCACACACACACACACACACACACACACACACACACACACACCACGTTTCACTCCTTACGCTCCTAGGAAAGGTCTCAGCTGCATTGGCTTAGAGACCCCTGTTCTCTAGGGTTCTCTAGGGAAACAGAACCAACGGAGATATATGCATGTAAATAGAGAGAGAGATTGATTTTCAGCAAATGGCTCAGCTCCAGTGGGAGCTGGAAAGTGTGAAGTCTGTAGGGCAGTCCAGTCAGCTGGAAACTCAGGTAAGAGTTGATGGTGCAGCCTTGAGTCTGAAATCTGCAGGGCAGGCCAATTGGCTGGAAACTCAGGCAGGGGCCTACATTGCCATCTTGAGATAGAACTGCTTCTTTTTCAGGCAACCTTAGTCTTTGCTCTTAAGGCCTTCAACTGATTGGTTAAGGCCCATGCATATTATGGAGGGTAATCTGCTTTACTCCAAGTCTACTGATTTAGATGTTAATCACATCTAAAAAATATCTTCACACATCTAGACTGGTGTTTGATCAAACAACTGAGCACCATAGCCTAGCCAAGATGACACACAAAATTTACCATCACATGCTCCCATGGTAAAATGACCAACACCTCAGGGCCTAGTCTTACCTTTCTTGATTTCGTTGCCATACAAAAAGGTTAACAGCCCCATTCTCAAAATTCTCTTGTCCTTTGGCTTGTGAGACCTTGAAGGAGCCTAGAGGCTCTCCTGCTTCTGTCTCCTCCTGAGATTGCTAAGATTTCTGCTAAAGCACAAAGGTAAACGAGGCTTGAGAAGCACACAGGGAGCAGGCCAGGCCGCAAGCTAAGTGTAATCAGCCATCACAACACCACAAGCTAAGTGTGATCTCAGAGATGAGCAGGGTCACCAAGCAAGCCCAGAGGACGGGCTAGTTAACTGGGACCTGGGGTGGGAGGTGAGGAGGACTTTACGTAAGGAAGAACTAGAGCCAGGCCCGGAAGCATATTTAGGGGTTCACTAGGGGGAGAATTGGGTAAAGTGTTTCCACCAGAAGCAGCAATAATAGTTAGAGAGAGGCATAAAGACAATGCTGTCGTAGCACATTCCAGAAGCTTCTAGTAGTAAAGAGGAGGCTTCAGTATAGGGTGAGAGATAGAGGTAGAAGATGAGGCTGAACATGTTCAATCTTGACTGCCACACTAACATGGAGCCATCACAGTATTCAGCAGAGGGATGATGGGTTCGATGAGTGTTGGGGACAGATCATTTGTGGTTACTGGACAAAGAAGAGCTAGGAGAAGCCAGGGACAGAGACAGAGACACAGTTGTGACATTTTCCCCCACAAAATTAGGGAAACTCTAGGCTAGGTCATACAGCAGATTTTACTGGGAGATGCCACAAAACTTTAAGGGAGGAAAGAGTCAAACCCAGATTCTGAGCTTGGGGACAGGAGTGGACAGCAAGGCCATGAGCTCAGCAGGGGAGAGTCTGTACCAGGATGGGGCAGGGGCAGCAGAGGCTGAGAGTTAGCTGTGGATACATTCAGTTTGAGGTGCGTGCACTACACCCAGTTCGCGCTTGTCTAGTGGGCAGGTGCAAATACACTGTGGCTCAGGAAGCTGTTGGTGCCTGGAAGAAGAGGGGGAGACAAGAAAGTACAGAGAAAGCCAGGATTTCCCAGAGAATTGACCAGAAATGGGGGCTGAGAAAGCAGCCAGAGAAAAGAGGAGAAAGTGATGTCCCAGAAGCCAAGGAAAAAGAGAATATTTACACAGTCAAATGCAGCAAGGAGATTAGGTGGGCAACTACTGAAAACAAAGGAGGAGCTTTGGTCAATGGAAAGCAGTCAGCAAATTGCAGGAGGCTTTAGAGTGAATGAGAATAAAAAGAAATCAAACACACCACACGAAAATAATGTCTAAAATCAGGGATATGAAGGAACAGCTACAGCAGTTGCTAAATGGGAGGGAGAGCTAAGGTGAGTGTGAGAGTGTGTGTGTGGTGAATAGCTGAAGAGGAAGTCTGAATGAACTTGCAGGTGGAGGGTAAGGATCAGGCGCCAGGGCCCTCCCTCAGTAGGGTAGCAGGGCAAGTGATGCTTTGCGTCCCTTTGTTTCTACAGGAAAAATACTCAGAATATACTTCACTGCCAATCACCCTACAGTCATCCATGGCCTCGAACAAATCCCACCGTGAGAGCAGCCCATTGGAGCCCTGAACCTGGGAAAGAACTGGGCTCATTCTTTGCTTGTCTCAGGAAGGGTGGGGAAGGATCCAAGTAGGTGGGAGGGATACAAAGAAGGGAGAATCCTTCATGCCGTTGGCTTATGTTTACAAGTACAAAAGCCAGGAGATCATCTGCTGTGGAAGGAAGGTGAGGATAGAAGTAAATAGTGAGAAGAGCCACTTCGGAGGATAAGAGGAGGATAGAAGCACAGAGGAATGTTGGAAATGATGAAGGAGGCTGAGGCCACAGATTGGTAACAGAGTTCACTGGGGGCATCTGGGGCTGTCTCCAATAGGAGGGGGTCAGAGAGGAGGTGAACATTGATCCAGAGCTGGGCAGGGGCCCGGAGGAGGGGAATAAAATCAACAGGGTCCGGGCGAGGAGAGCTGCGCTGTTCCTCCCCCACTGGCTGACTCAGCTCCTCCAAGGCGCCTAGCTGTCCAGCCTCCTTCCATCTGACCCACGAGAGCACGTCCATGCCCGTGTCTGCCACCCACTCCCCTCACACTCAACCTGGCACGGCATCGTCAAGCCGTTTTTCATGTTTCTTTGTGTAACTGTTTGTCCCTTCCGACTGTTAGCTCCTTGAGGGCAGGGACAATATCAACAATGAACCCCCGGCGCCACACACAGTGCCTGGCACACAGTCAGGGCTCGATAAGGGTTTGCTGAACAAGACATGTTCAATGAAGACTTTCTAGGGGTGATTTTCAAAGAGATGTCCCCCAATACCTCAAGCTCATGGTTTTTGCAACTTACATCAACCTATCCTCAAAATTAGCTCATATACCTGCAATGAGCTGTGCAGGTATATGTTCCTGTTCCCTCCTTCATTCCAGTACCTCTATTCTAGTGGAGGCTGTTACTGATGTTATATCCCCCTGGTAAACTGAGCTCAGTCTTATACTGCTACCAGATTCATCCTCCTAAACCGCTGTGTTCATTTTCTTATTCCCTACTAAGTCTTTAGTGGCTCGTTCTCACCTACACAATAAAGTCCTTGTAATCAAGCCAGTAAAGGCACTTCAGTTTGGGCCAAGCCAAATTTAATTTCCATGGATACTCCATTGTATTTTTGTGTGTGTGTGTGTGAGGAAGATCAGCCTTGTGCTAACATCTGCCAATCCTCCTCTTTTTTTGCTGAGGAAGACTGGCCCTGGGCTAACATCCGTGCCCATCTCCCTCCACTTTATATGGGACGCCGCCAAAGCATGGCCCGCCAACTGCTGCGTTGGTGCACGCCTGGGATCCGAACTGGTGAACCCAAGGCCACTACAGCGGAACGCGTGCACCCAACCGCTTGTGCCACCGGGCGGGCCCCCTCCATAGTATTATGGCCTCAAATTCTGCATTTTTCTGTCTCCGTTCCTTTATTCATGTTAGTCCCTCTTTGCTAACCCTAGAAAAACCCTCCCCATCCTTCAAGATCTATCTCCAATGGCACCTCTCCTCCAGGGAGCCATTCCTGATCACCTCAAGAAAATGACCTCTCCCTCCTCACAACTCTGATAGCCCTCAGTTTACACGTCATTTATGGCACTTGTCACACACAGCTTTGAGATTTTCAGTTATCTGGGTATCTTTAGACTAAGTTCTTACTAGCTAAGATCATGTCTTATCCATCCTTACATCCACCCCATGAGCACTCAAGTCCTTGGAGAGAACAGTGCTCAAATATAAGTTCACTAGTTACTGGAAGTCATATATATTCTTTAGATCTCTTTCAGTGAAGACAGTCAATGTAAGGGCACTGAAATCCACAAAACTCCAGGTCACCAGAAATTGTGAGCCCTAAACTGGATATATCTAAATGAAATGGGGGTAATTAAATCCTTCAGACTTAAAAAATAAGTGCTCTTATAGTCTATAAAGCTTACAACAACATACTAAAACATAGCTCATTAAAAAATTCTAAAGAAAAAAGATGACAAATTGGGTTTGTAAATATTTGTTTTAAGCAGATTAAACTATAAATAAATAAGCTATATTATGTAACTTACTAAGTTATATAATGAATAAACTTTTCGGTCAGTCTTTAACTGTACTTATCTAATCATGAACAAAATTACTTTGTAGATGGCCTTAAATTCCATAGATTTCATTTTTCTAAAATAAATTCAAGCTCTCAACTATGTATGCAACTTCATGTACTCAGACTTTATTAGAGCTTTTAGCAATTATCACATGACGAATATTTCTTCTCTGCTAAAGCTGGCGATTTTGTTAAGGTGCCAGAGAAACTAGAAATATTTGCAGATCAAATGAAATAATAACTATTTCAAAATACAACACCCTTTTCCTATGAGCTATTTTCATCACATTCAAATTAAATTCTCCCTCAAAGAGATACACTAAGTGGTACGAATACAGATGCTGCTATGGTTTGTTTTTTTCCCCACATAATTTGAAGACACTTCTCAAATAAAAATCAATTTTACTTTTAAGATCATTAAAAAAAAAAGCAACACCACTCCAAGTTACTAAACATCCCGAACTTCCCATTTTCTGACCAAATTTTAATACAAAAGGTTAACTTTTGTGAACAAATGCACAAGAACACAATTGCAAGCTACCAACATATTCTATTCCAACTCCGCAGTTCCCAGGGATTCCATTTGGAGTGGAGCGAAATGAACGAGCACAGAGCACTGCTTGTGTGGCCCGAGCCATCTTCATCCTCCTCAGGCGGCTCAGACTTTAGTGGAAAGGGAAAAGGAAAACGGTAGTTAGTCGAGCCTGAACTATTTCCCTCTGCTCCTTCAGAACTCAGTGAGCCAATATGAATATCTCTCCTTTTCATCTACTCAGATATCCAGTGAAGTTGTATCTTATGGCCACTAGGACCTAAAGTCAGCGCACTGAGTGAAAACCGGCTAGAGTTGAAACCACCCTCACAAATCTCTTCAACATGTGCCACTTCGAAGAGGTACATGCAGCCTCTCAACAGTCTAACACAGCAGGTTATTTTCTCCTCCAATGTTGGAGAAAAGACCACCATTTCTTGGATGGGGTACCAGATCAAGTGGCTGGGCTGGCTTTTGGGGCCACACGGTGTGAAAAATGCATGATGTTAATAACCAGACTGGCATTCAGCCCAATTCGATGCTCATAAAACAAGAGGTAGGTAGGAACTGGTGTCAGTGGGGAAACAGACTCTCCCGTCCTACTGCAAACACCAGGGTGCATGCACTCTGACAAGAATGGCAGGCAGAATCACCCGAGCCCTTTAAGTTATTGCTCCCTTTTTCCTGTGTTCAGCCCATGTAATCTCATTCAGGCATGACAGACATTATTAGTTCCTACCCAGCTTCTACTCTCCCCTTCTTCCTTATTGACAGAACCCCACTTTTGGGGAGGACAGTAACATGCTCAGTTAAATTCCCACCACATCAGATTCCCTTGTAACTAGGGAGGGCCACGTGACTCAGGCCTGGGCGGTAAGATGGAGATAAAAGTCTATCGGTTTGGGCTTCAGTGAAAAGTGTTTTCCTAATTAAAAAAAAAAAGGGAGAGAATAGATTCTACTGGCACACATCTTTTACCCTTCACTTATCTCCTCCTTCCTGCCTGGAGTGTATAAGAGATGCCTAGAGGTAGAGCAGACATTCTGTGACTATAAAACTCAAAGCTACAGGAAGGACGGCAGAGCAAGAAGCTAAAAGAATCTGGGTCCCTAATGACCACTTAAAGCTGCCACTCCAGCCCCGGATAACCTCCCTCTGGGCTGCTGCTTACAGGAGATAAATAAAACCCGTTTGGCTCAGCTGCTGGAGTCTGATTTCTGTTACATGTGACCAACTGTAACATGTACATTTAATTCACATTTGATCCTATTAATCATTAGGGCTGAGAATTAGTCTAATATTCTTAGCCCAGATTAGTCTTTTTTCCATATCCTCTTTTAGTACTATTTTGATTTGGAGATTTGTTATTTTTGTTTCCCCAAAAGAAAATAGTAACTTTTTCCTGATAATGAAAGTCACTAAGATATATATACAAGGGTATTCACTAAAGACTTATTTGTAGTAATAATTTTAAATAATCTGGATGTTCATCAATGGGGAATCAAATGTATAAGTTATAGTATGCCCATAACCTAGAATATTTTGCAGTTATTAAGAAAATAAGTAGATTTATATTATTGACTTGGAAAGGAATCCTACTTTTATTGCTGAGAGAACAAAGCAAGAACAATATACATAATATTTAGTATATCATTTATGTTATTTAAAAATATACACATGGGGGCTGGCCCGGTGGCGTAGTGGTTAAGTTCAGTCGCTCTGCTTCGGCGGCCTGGGGTTCACAGGTTCAGATCCCGGGCGCAGACCTACACACAGTTTATGAAGCCATGCTGTGGTAGCGTCCCACATATAAAATAGAGGAAGATGGGCACAGATGTTAGCCCAGGGCCAATCTTCCTCAGCAAAAAGAGGAGGATTGGCAAGAGATGTTAGCTCAGGGCTAATCTTCCTCACACATACACACAAAAATATATATACATATGTATACTTATGCAGACATTTGTATCCATCCTGCTATAAGACTAGACAAAATGTCTGGAAGAATATATACCAAACTGTAAAGAGATAGTTATCTCTGGATCATAGATGGGAGGGAGGGTTAGGGAGAGGGGAAAAATTTAACTCCTGACTTTATATATGTTATGCTCTTTGAGTTTATTACACAAAAGTAACTCATACCTTGGACTGACTTCTAAAAATACAGAACAGCCTAAGATAGGAAGTAAATTCACCTAAAATGTCACCACGCAGAAATAACCACAGCTGACATTTTGATGAACGTCTTCTAGAATCTAGACCTCTCACTACGTATACTTGTACATACATTCACACAAACTCGCATCTTCTATCACACCTCCCCTGCCTTGTCACCTCATTGGACAAGCCTTTCTCATGCTCTTCTGCTGGCTTCACCTCCCCTACTTAACTTCAACACATTGAGGCAGCCCACGAATTTTGTCTTGGGATGTCTCCTCTCTTTCCTTACTCCCTAAATCAACTCAGCTAGTCTCATGCTGAGCCCTCTGCCATGAGTTTCAGTCTCAAATATCCAGTTACCCACTTGACAACTCCATTCAGATGCTGATAGCACAAACTGAATATACGTCCCAAATCAAACTTTTAATATCTATCCACATCCTCCCCCTCCCCCACCAATAAAACCGGACCTTTCTCAATCTTCACTATCTCCTTAAATGACACCAATTTCCACCTAGTTACTCAAGCCCCAAACCTGGAAGTTGCCCTTAATCCTACTGTTTCCCCACCCGCCAGATCTAATCCATCAGCAACCTTTCTAGCTCCATCTCCACTGCCCACATCCTCCAAATCCCCACCGCAACACACACACACAGGACCTGGAGAAGAGTCCTTTACCATTGCCCCGTTCACTGCAATTAGACTCAAATCCAATCTCCTTCCCATGGCCCCTAAGGCCGTAGGTGGCCACACCACCACACACCACCCTTCTAACCTCATCATATGTTACTCTACCCTCATTCCTTTTGTTTGGCCCTCACTGAACTCCTAGAACATACAAAGCTGCTTAAGGCCTCAGACATCTGTCTAGGTCATTCCCTCTGAAACTCTCTCCCCATCACTGGCTCCATCTCACTCTTTAAGTTTTAGCTCAACTGTCACCTCCTTAGTAAGGTTTGACTTGACTCTTTCCTTTCACACTGAATCTCTCTCTCTCATCACACTTTTATCCTTCTTAGCACTTACCACTATCATGAATTCCTATCTGTTTACTTGTTTACTGTCTGTTTATCCGACTAAAACATACACTCTATGAGGTAAGGACCTCTTGGGTGTTTTTCTACCCCCAGCATCTAAGACAGTACCTGGCATATAATTGATTCATCAGTTCAATGAGTGAATGAACATATACATCCTCATCTAATATTCAAAATAAATGGGATGTCATATATGTTGCTTTGCAGTAAGCTTTTACTTTTCCCTCACTGTTTAACATCATCCAAGTCAATATAATCTAAATCGTTCTTTTTAATGGCTACATGGCATATCATATGGATGTATCAATCTATTTACCCAAACAATGGCTGGGCATTTAGGTACTTTCCAATACCTCCCTATTAGAATTGTTTGTAATACATATCATTGTCCATATCTTTGCACAGTCCAATTTCATCTTTTAAGATAATTTCCTAAGAAGTGGAATTGCTGGGTCAAAAATCACACAGCATAACTTTGGACACTGAAAGAGTTTTAAATCACCCACTTCATTTACTCTCAAATAAAATAAAACAAAACGCATGTTCTTAAAAAATAATTACTATATTCTTTAAGGTGCATGGAATTGCAATCTTATAAAAATGTATTTGGACATGGTCTACTTAGCGAATTTAATTCAGACCTCCAGATTGAAGAAAACCTCAAAGTTGGTATCTGTGTAAAAAGCCCCATCATTAAATGCTGTGGGAATGAACAAAATAGTATTCAAAGACTCCAACTGGGTGGGAGGGTTGCTGTCCTTAGAGTGACTGTGTCCAAGAACAGAAGAGTTAGTGCGTGTTCTGCACATTCCATATTTATTTACTCTGTGAGCCTCACAACACTGCCAGAAAGTTCATGGAGCTGTAGCCCCACAAGCTACTGGACCATTCAGGGAAGGATTAGGGTTCACAGTGATAATTCTATAAACTCTCTCCTTTAAAAGTCTCTCAGAGTCCATCCCATCCCAAAGAGGGTCTCAAATCCTTCTTTGCCTTAGTAACTGCCAAAAGACAGCCATCGTCATCCACATTCTCACCTGATGCTGGCTGTACGTCTACTCTTCTGCCCCAATCTAATACCCATCCCCACCCTCCCAAGGTCTTCCCCTCTAGCCCCTACAACTCAATCTGTAAAAGCAACAAACTCCCTAATACCCTCAGCCTCTTCTTGGAAGAAAATATCTCCTTGCCACCTTCTTTTAACTAAAATGTGGCTGACCTCTCAGGGTACCGCCTGCCCTGATGCCCTCTCTCAATCAAAACCTTTTTTTCTCTGATATCCCTTTATTTCATGGTCAGATGGAAGGACAGGCATTCTCCTTGCTCCCCACTACCATACACAGATCATTACTCCCTCTCCTGTAGAAACTTCCCTGCTGACATTTATGCCATCCATCTGAACTATACCTCTATCAACCTCATGGCCCCATTGTTCTGTTGGCCCTGGTTCCTGTAATTGCAACAGCATCAGGAGAGACCTATCTTCATGTTCTGGCTTCTCAGTTCTCCAACTCCTCACCTCCTATAGCATTTTCTTCAATTTCACCACAGCTATGCTTTCTCAGACTTTGTCGTCATTGCAGACTTCCCACTTCTGAAATCCTGATTTTCAGCATCCCACTTTCTGACCCGACCTTTCCAATCTACTTGCTCTTCTACCTCCACTGTCACAACTTTTGATCCCACTGAGACTGTCAACCTATTGACTCCATGCTACTGACTGAATTTTTGTGTTCTCCTCAAAACTTCATATGCTGAAACCCTACCCCTGTCCACCCCGCTATGTGATGGTATTAGGAAGTAGAGCCTTTGGGAGGTAACTAGGATTAAATGAGGTCGTGAGAGTGGAACTCGTATGAATGGGATGAGTGCCCTTGTAGGAGTCACCAGAGAGTTGCTTCCTCTGCTCTGCTCTTCGTCATGTGAGAATTGACACCTTTATATTATTCAATCTCCCCATCCCGATTTTAGTAATAATGCATTTAGAGTTTCTCCATTAAGCATAATACTGGCTTTTGGATTGAGATTTATCATACAAAATAATACCCAGTTACTACTATTTTCTTAGGTTTTATAAAAATTCAAAAACAGATATAGAATTTTTTCAAATGTCTTTTGAAATATATGGAGAGAATCATAACAATTTTTCTCCCTAGATCTATTAGCAAGTAATATATTAATAGATCCCCTAATATGACACCAACTTTGCATTCCTGGAATAAATCTTACTTGGTCATGACATATCATTCTTTTAGTAAGCTGCTAAATTATGTTTACCAATATTTTACTCAGAATTTTGGCTTAGTTATTTTAAGTGAGATTGTTCTACGGTTCTCTGTGCAATTTTTGTTAAATTTTGGTACTGCAGTGCAAGATTCATGAAACAAATTTGGGAATTTTTATTCTTCTATGTGCTGGAATAGTACTCAAGTTATCCGTTAGTACCAGTTAGTCAAGAGCACTAAAGTTATCCTTCTTTAAAGGATAAGTAGAATTCCTTTGTGACACAATCTGGACCATAATACATGTTTGTAGGGTAGTTCTTTATCAACTTTCTCTATTTCTCCTATGAATATTTGCGTAAGTTTCCCCATCTGTTCAAGAGTCCATTTCGTTAAACTTTATTTTCCTGGAAAATTGTCAATTGTTCCAGGTTCTCATCAAAACTGGGATGTGCATAGACATATGAAAGTCAAAATGTTAACAATCAAGTCTAGTGATTGTTTGACCCACACATTTCTCTCACCCCAAATCTTCCCTATTCTCTACTTGGCAACACAATCCATCTAACTGCTAAAAGACAGAAACCCAGGAGTCATCCTTATTTCTCCTTCCTTCACCTATTGCTTCCATCTGTCAGTAATTTATTAATTCTAGCTCGAAAATGTATCTGGAACCTCTCCATTCCTCACCATCTCCAAAGCCCTCCAGTTGAGCTTTCCCCTTCTATTCTTCACTTCTCTAATCAATTTTCCACATAGCAGCTAGAATGATTTTTTTGCAATATAAATCAGATATTACCCTCACCCCCAACGCCTTTGCTCAAAACTCATCCATATTTTCCTTCACCTTAGTATAAAATTCAAACTCCTCAACCTGTTCAACGAGGCTTTACCTCATTGAGATTCAGCCATGCTCCCACCTGCACTTCAGGTAACTATTCCCCTTACACTGCTGTGGTCCAAGAACTTTCAGTTCCTCAAAGATGTGAAGTTCTCCCCCGCCCAAAACTGTTCCTTTAAACTGTTCACAAGGTTAATTCCTCCCTATTCTTGAAACCCCATCTTTAATGTCACTTCCTCAGAGAGACCTTTGATGACCATCCGATCTGAAATTGACACCTCACACCATTGCTCTCTGCCAAAGCACCTTGTTAGTATCCCTCAAAGCACTTAGTAAATTTGTGATTATTTTATTTGCTTACTTGTATTTTTTCTGTCTTCCTTCAAGGAGTTTATTTTTAATAGGGCAGGAACATGTCTGTATATTAACCATTGCATCTCCATGTTCAGCATGGTGCTTGATGCAGAGCAAGCACTCAATTATAAATATTTACTGAATGAATGAATGACCCAGATCCAAAAGGATAATTTGTAGGATGGGAGATATTGTGAAAGAAGAGGAAGCTCAGTGGAAGAGACGCAATATGGACCAAGTGTCAGAGCATCTTTTAGTGCTTGCTGCCCCCACAACCCCCCACTCCTCACATTGACTGAACAAAGCAAACCTTTGTACCTACCCCAGGAATGCAATAATAAAGCTGGGCTTTGGCTTCCCTCATGAAGGCTCAACTGGATTAAGCCTAGAAGAAATCGATTCATTGCATTATACTCACATTAGACAATTTAAAAATAAGGATAGTCATATATGTACATACATATACCATAGAGTTATTTCATAGATCATTACATCACTGGATGTGAGCCAAGAAGGTCAATGGCCAATCCAAGATATCAACATAAGAGATCAACATTTTCACTTGATTCTATTTTATGCATTGTCTCTGTCAATACCATTATCCCACAACATATATTGAGGTATTTCATGACTACAATTCAAAGCATTGAATCCCCATCTCCTTGTAGCATTGTGCTAGAGGCTGAAATGATATAGGCTAAGGGATGTCCTTCTCATCTCCCCAGAAAAATATGTAAAGCCATCACTGACGTGCAAACATGACAAAAGGACAGACACTGGATCCCAACCAGATCCAGATACTAGATCTCCACCAAGACAATTAACCTCTCTAAGTCTCACAGGCACTTCAAGCACTTAGCCGAGAGCCGGGTACCCAGGAAGCACTCAGTGTGAGCTGAGAGCATCACCATCATCTCTCATCTGTAGGTCTCGAGGTGGTTTCCTTAGGTGTTTGGAAGAGAGGAGACCAAATGCAAAACCCTCAGAGATGTATGTTTAGAAGCAATTTTCATTCTTTAAATTATCCTAAATTCACATGGGATCCTGTTATCAAGGAAGATGAATGCAAATAGTAATTAATATCCTACAATGTAATCTGTATGAACTGAAGAGACAGTTGCCTAAAATCTGGGATTGAGTTAAAATAAGAGAATTCTCCAGGTTTCAGGAGACTAGCGGGTATAATCTCTAGTGTTTACTATCGTGCTGCTTTATACCAGCAGTTCTCAAAGTGTGAACCTTTGGGACCCCTAAGCAACCCCTTTCCTTGGGGACCCATAAGGAAACTAAACTTGCAAAGGTTCTGTGACGTTAAAACTATTTTGGTAATAATGGTAACACTACTAAGACATTATTTGTTTTTTTCATTCTTACCCTCTCACAAATACACAGTGGGGTTTTCCAGAGGCTGCATGACATTTGATATCACAACAGATTGAATTCAGAAGTAGATGAGGATGCAGCTGTCTTCTATTAAGTCAGACATTAAAGAGATTTGCAAAAACATAAAACAACGCTACTCTTCTCACGTTTCTTGTTTTGAAAAGTCTGGTTATTTTTCATAAAAATCTTATTTATATCAATATGTAAAGATTTCTTTCTGTTATTTTTTTTTTTCAGGTTTTTTTTTTTTTTGTGAGGAGATCAGCCCTGTGCTAACATCTGCCAATCCTCCTCTTTTTCTGCCGAGGAAGACTGGCCCTGGGCTAACATCTGT